TTAACAATAACTTTTACATATTTTTGGTTAAATAGAATTCTTTAAAATTTTAACTGGTTTCTTTAATAGCAACAGCATAACATGGGAAAAATAAGCCCCCGTTATCAATAAAATTTGACTGATTATCATATATTGATCAGAAAAAATCTGGGATAGCAAGCTTTTAAAAATGTTTCTAAATGTTTGATTCCTCATTAAACATGATTAAATATAAATCACAATAAATTAGACAACACTTTATTTCTACTTTCAGACAAATTATTTCAAATATACTGGAACATGTTAAGATATTTTGAAACATACTATCAATGACTGTATTACATAAATGTGAATAAAACAAACTTCATTCTTAAGTTAATGCATAATATATTACACTTATTTAAAATAAGGAAACCCCTTAATGGTTAAATAATTCAACAATAATCGAAGAGAAAAAAATAACAAAAAAGAAGTGAATAAAAGCATAACTTATGAATGCATATGGCAATATATGAGAATTTAAAGTAAAACACTGAGATAGTTAAAAGTTTGAATAAACAACACAATAAATGCAGACAATCACCGAGTCAAGAAAATTCCGAAATAATTAACATATCACACTAAAAATGCCTTGTTAACATTAATGCTGTAGATTTAAAAAAAAAATTTATATACATATATTATAAGTAACCCAGGAAATAATCCTAATTATAAAATTAATAATTACATTATAAGTAACATTTATAAATGCTTTTCACTAATATTAATAAAAATCAGAAAAAAATTTAATCAAACTTTTCATGGATTGTGTGCTTAGAAAAATCTAATTATTTTATTAAAGACATTCTGACTTTCAAAAATACTACAAATTTTCCATTCTCAATCCCATATTTTCATTCAGTAGGGGAATGCTATTCACAACATCACCTCAAAATTTAAATTAATTTTTTTTTCATACACTGCACCTGTTATTTTAGTAAGCCTTTAACCAAAATAATAATTTTATTAGCAAATCTACGACTCTTAACATTTTGTTAACTAAAGATATAAATTAACAGCCAGAACAATTGTTAATAAATAAAAATACTTTAAACTTTTTTCCCACCTAAGATATGCAATGATTAACAAATAATATTAGCAGTTTTGATTATTGATTGCTTCATGATATGTTTGCTTCACAAGATATGAAAATGACAAGACGAAATAACAAAATATATGTGCAGCAGTAGGACATTTTTAACGGAAATTTAAAAAAATGCATCGCTATACTTATACTTTTTAATATAAAATGACTGTAGAATATTTACACCCATATTTCTTCATAAGTTAAAATTTTGGAATACTAAAAACTTTTTTTATTTTAATTCTGATTTACAATACTTAATATTATTACTGTAATATGATTTCCCACATTATTCATAAATATCCATCTTTTATTTAGCTGTACCATTTACTGTTATTTTGATTCTAATAACTAATATTTTTGGTGTGCAAGTCTACCACATGTATTTTCAAAATGATTCATATATAAATTGCATCCTTAAGCTGCATAATGGACATTTATTCTAACATGTCTGATAAAATTACAGCAGATACCTCAAGAAGCAAAATTCAAATTCCTTAATTTAAATTCTGGTTGTACCTTTGCAGAATCCAATTTAATAAATTTTTATTTTATTTTATTTTTAAATGATATGTTAGTATGAGTCCAAAATCCTCAGATTTATTCCTGAGATATTCTCAACCAAAAATGGATAGATATCTCATTTGAATGCTTGTGACTGAAGTGTTTTCTTTACAGATTTTGAGACATTAAAACCCTTTACTCCAAAACTTTGCTTAAGAGTTCAGCAGTACAAAGAAGAATGGTACAAGAATATTAAATTCTATCTTCCTTCTATCCCTAAATTCCATTCTCAATCAAAAGAGAAATGAAGTTAGAAAAGGCTAAATTTGTGTTCAATAAACATAGTTAGGATTATTCACATGCAGCCTTGAATTAATGTTAAATAACATACAAATAAATATATTTCTTGCTGTTCATCATTGCTTAATACATCCAAAGGCATAAAATGTATACAGCTAAATTTGGTACTATTCCGTTTTGAGGAAAGTAAAAAATCGCCAAACTATTGTTGATGACAGTGCTGCCAAAAATAATTGCGGCAACCCTAATGCAAGAAAGGATGTATAATAGTAAATAACTATCTAAGATTACTGTTTTAATTTAGATTAAAGGTTAATTTCATATAATACTTTTTTATTATTATAATTTATATAAAAAAGGCTAAACATAACTGAATGGAAGCCTAAGAGTAAATAACTATTTCAGATCATTATTATAATTTATATAAAAAAGAGGCTAAATATAAATGAATGGATTCGTGCATCGCTATTTCGCTACTGAGTTATTGCTAAAGCATAATTTCATCTTGTTGGTTGTTTAAATATAATTTTCTATAATGAATGATGACTTTATCTTAAAAAAAATTCTATTGCAGACTTTTTTTCGTCATGGGCAATTTCCAAATTGTTAAATCCATAGGATACCAAAAAAGTATTTAAAATCAAAAAAAAAAAAAAAAAAAAAAAAAAAGGATTTAAAAATTAAACTAGTATTTCAATGGCGTCTTAAGAACTTTTTACTAATAACAATCAATTACTTATTTAATCACACTTTTAAAATAGTTAACTTTTATAAACCCTTCTAATAATGCAGAATTTCAGGTATGTAATAACAATATTCATTCAATTTATTACAATACAGGAATTTTCCCAATTCTTCTTGATAACTCCAACATTGGTTATCTGAAATATTTTTGCAGATCTCACTAGCTTTATATTAATTTCACTTTAATTTATGCACATTTGCAGAATAAAATGACCAGCTTTAGTGAGGTATTTAAATACATTTACAATTCTTAATTTTCAGATTCTGTCTAAAATATGAAATTAGAGAATAGGCAAGTTAAAAATCTCAATTTGTAATCTTAAATGTTTTATTATTAATAAAAAAAAAAAAAAAGTAAAGTGCTGAAGGATGTTTTACCATATTTAGAGTAGATAAATAAAGTTGAATTTAATGACAGCTAATTAATGAGGGTTATGATAAGTAAAGTCTTAGATTATTTAAATTAGTTTCTGTATTTCAAAACTGCCACAACTTTCTTCGAGCAGTCAAAATTATGATTTAACTCTGTAATAGTCTTCCATTATAAAAATATATCCCGTTTTCATTATTTTTCAAAAACAAAAGGATAAGTTTGCTAGTTTTCTTCCCAAATATCTATACATATTAATAGATCATAATGCATAACATGAAACTCTGGCAAAGACAAAATGATATTCATTCTGTTCTTCTGTTCTACACTTGCTGTACAACAATATGAAAAATAATGAATGAAGGAATGTAATTAATTACTCAGGTCCAAAGTTATTGCATTTAAGGAGGCAGAAAACACTGAATGGAAAAGTCATGAATAATTAAGTACGATCTACTTCCTTATAAAAAATAATCTAGATGTATGTATTATAAACTATACAAAATCTGCTACACAAACAATTGTATAACAATCTACAAAGTAAATATGAAAAAACTATATACATAAGCAATGAAATATGGAAATTAACAATGAACATAGTGTCATTTAAATAACATGCGTATAAACACACACACATATTAATACTTTGGTAGCTGCCGTGTTGTCACACTAATGTTTAACATACATCAAAATGATGATAATTTTGTCAAGGTAAAAAATGGTAATGGTATGACAATTTAAAAGCTAATTTACAATGCTATATGATTTTTATGAATAAGTAACAGCAAAGCTAACATTATAACAGCAATACATTTATTAAAGTAATGATTGATCAAATGCTATTACACGTTAATTTACATAGTTTCTTCTTTATCACTTCTAATAACCTTTAAAGGAAGGCATTTTCTTTTTGATGAAATATCCTCACCTTTTTTAATTTCTTTGGTAGCATCTTGACTTGTATGGTCTACACTTAGGAAGAAAAAAAAAAAAAAAAAAAAAAAAAAAAAAAAAAAAAATTGTTTTTCTTTTAGCTAAGAGATCTTTATGCATGGGATTAAGTACTTGTAAAAGTCACCTCTTAAATTTTGTGCTTCTTTTCAAAAAAAGGATCTTAACTTAAAAATATAACTCCAGTTAGTCCTTTAAAAGGATATAAAATTATTTCTTCCTCTATAAAATTATTATAAAATATTTCTTCCTCTGGTCTTTTTAATTTTGTACTCATAACAGTTTCTTCAAATTAGAGATGTTGTCTATAATGTTGAGATGTATTAGCAACATTTCCAGTCCAACTGGGTTACAGTGCTGCAACACTGCTATATTATACAGGATTTTCACTAGTTTTTCACCCATTTTAGAAAGAAGTCATGGTCTAGGGGTCTGTGTTATGTAAGAGCTATGTGTATTTCTATATTTTGCAGTCATGTAAGACAACACAATTCTAATTTCCCCTCCCCATATTAATGTCAATATATTAAACAACTATTGTACAGCTGATTTTTCTTATTATTATTGTTTTAAATTCTTTCATGCCTATTTTTATATTGCTTCTCCAATAAATTTAATCAATTTTGAGGTACCTTGAGTTATTCTTTGCATTTTGGATTCACAGTTTCTTAATACACAAACAACTGTTAAAAGTTAGCAGGAATTATTTAAGGCAAATATTTATTTTACAGTATTTTTCCATCAAACATTCCAATGCAACACGAAATTCACTAAATGAACGGAATTTTGAAATGTTCATGTGTTGGTATTTAAATCTTTCCATGGTTAGAACATTTTCCTCAAAGAGTTGACATTCATATAAAAAAAAAAAAAAAAAAAAAAAATCTTTCAGTATAACAAACTATAAATGAAAAAAAATATGATACAAGATCTGAACAAATACTTAAAAAGAAATCACATTTAAAATTATAGCTGAAATATAAAAAATAGTTCAATAACTAAAATCTTCTCAAAGTATTTAATTTACTACGGAAGAGTACTAAAGATAATTTTATTTATTTATTTACTTATTTATTTTTAATGTTTTATATATGAAAAAAGCTAAATGAGTAATATCTGGAATGGTTATAAAAGATTCTGGTACCTAACAAGAAATAACTATATATAGCAATCAAAAAATGAAGCAAATGATATAATTAAAATCTGTTGCTACAATAATTTATATAGTCAGAATATTTACTTTAAACCAGAAATTACATTTGATTTACCCCTAACATTTTCAAATACACTTTCACAAACACACATAGCCTATATACATACATGTGCAGACAATAAAGAAAATAATCTGTAGTATACATTAACTAGAAGATGGGATGATATAACACCTTTAAACTATTGAGAATCTTTAAATCTGATAACAATACAGATAAAAACTGTAGGAACAATAAATAAAAGAACTCCAAAATTTTCATCAGAAAACCTTGGTTGTCATGTTAAGTCTATAAACAGAAACATGAGCCCAGCCTCCATACCACAGAGACTACTTATTGCACAACTGGAAGCTACAGCAATCTCTGTGCAGCCCAAATGAAGAAACATCATCACTTGAATTTGGCAGCATATAATTTCAGCAAGTACTCTCAAGTTCTACAGAACGTTGCCTCTCACGTTGTCTCTGTCTAAAGCGTAGAAATTCTTCTTTGAGAGCTGCACATCTAGCCTCAGTATTTTCATATTTGCGAGGTCCTGTAGGATACAGACCACCACACAATTCACTATCACTGAGACCACGTTCACTCCAGCCATCTCTTACGTGACGTGCAACACCACCTGCCCTGCTGCGCGAACGTGTAAAACCATCAACAACAGGTAGGGCTGGTTCTGAATGTGGAGAGTCTGCCTCAAAAAGAGAGGATCCCTCATTGTGATGATGAATAGTGTGTACACCATTTGGTGTGAGTGAAGTTGATGCAAAAGCAGCAGAGTGATTCCTGCTGGCAAAACCACTACTGCTGCCACTGCGATTGTTCATGTCTAGCTCTCCTTGCAGGCTTGAATGGGCTAGAGATGCAGCCTTACTTCCATGACCAGAACTACCACTTGTGACACTGGTGCGACTTGGGGTAGCAAGTCGACGATTTGTCGCAAGTGGCCCATCTATTTCAGAAAGGAGTTCAACACCAGGAAGTTGTTGTTGTCTGTGATAAGCAGCACTTCTAACACGTTCCACAGCACCCAGGAGACGATCCCTTGTGTATGTCACTTGGTGCACATCGCTGCCACCACTCTCACTAGAGTCAGGACCTTGAGCAGCCCCATTCACCCCACTGAATTCCAGTCTGGGAGGACTGCTGGTAGCCAAAGGGCGCTGGTAAGAAGGAGAAATTTGTTGACGGGGATGAACAGGGCCACTGTTATAGCCTCTTGGTATAGCTGGACGAAGTGGATAAAAACGAGGTCCTGTTGAGTTAGTTGGATAAGCCTGGACTGGCAGCCAGCGCCGAGATCCAGGCCATCCTTGATGCCACGAGTTTTGGATAGGAGATCCTAAAACTTGTTGATGAAGCATCCAGGAAGGTGGAGGTGCATCTTGAGCTCTGTGTATGGGGCGAAAGTGCATTGGAAAAGGTGGAGTCAAGTGACTGGACACTGTGCTTGGAAAGGAGCGCTCCACAGAAGATGGCTGGCGAACTGAACTGATATCCTCTGCAAAAAAGGAGCCCCCTAATCCAGGGCTACTTGTGTGAAAGCGAGATGGAGTCGCATACGGACCATAAGAAGGGGTCGAGGGACTCAAGTGCAGATTGTGACTACTCTGTCCACTGCCATCACTGCGGATACTACCCCTGGCTCCTGCATGGTTGGACGGAATGAGGGAGTGAGATGCAGTTTGTGTTGTTCTCATAAAACCTCCCTCTTCATCGTCAGCACTGCCACGCAGCACAAATTTACCATCTGCAGAGCGACTTATCCAGCCCAGAGGTTGGGAATATTCCATCTGGATGTTGTAACGAGCACCTCTGGGATGTCTCAAATGAACAGGCCACCCATGAAATGTTCTTGTTCGCTCTCTGGGATTTGATGCTAAGCCTATTCTACCTAAGCTGGCCAGACAGGGAAATTTTAAACTTGGTATTCCGCCTTCTTCATTTCTGTCAGAAAGAATTGAAGAACTATAGAATAAAGAGAAACTAATTGCAGAGAACAGTAATGTTTCTAAAAGTAAATGATCAATACATCATAAATATCATATAAAGCATTACAAGTAAATATAACAATTAGAAAACAAACATCAGCTAAAATTGACATTAAAAAAAAAGCATACAGAACATAAAATTTAGGAAATATACTAAACACAGTCCTAGAATGGCATATCAGGGAATATACACATCACTCTTAAGAGACAGTGATCAACAGTATAACATCATACAAATTACAGTAAACTCTTGGCATTCTGTGCATTATCTAGAAGTTCAGGATAATTTTCTGAGATATTAATTGAAGAACATAATTTCCTTTATGATTTGGGACATAACAGATCTATTAAGACTTACGACAGAGTTAAGTTGGGTGCTGATTTTTATCTGGGGGAAAAACTGGTGATTGATAACATATAGTATGTAAATAGAGACAAATAAGATTTTATGTTTATTAACCAATTACTATCATTTTGCTTATACTAGCACTTCTACTTTAATTGGCTGCCAACAAAATGCAAATCAATGTATTTAAGTATATAGTTCTTGAGTTCGAGAGAGAAATTTTCGCAGCTATCGCTCACTGTCTCACTACTACTTCTCCCAGCATATGAAATACTCAAATTTGTAGTAACTTTGCTAGCAGTAATTCGTCGCAAAAGTTGAGAGATGAGCCAAAGCTTGTAAGTGTGCTTTCATTTATAAATTTAATATTGAATTTAATTTAATCTTAATTTTTGTTTCTGTTCTCTACAAGCTTCAGAGATTGCATTATGTTATTACACAATTTGTGTAACTGTCAAGCTGTGCTAGCCATAACTGTTCACAAAAATTGAAAGTCTGAGTAAAATTTTGTAAGTGTGCTTTGCTTATGAATATTAAATTTTATTTTTAAAGGAAACTTCCTAGAAACTTTTTTTTTTTTTTTTTTTGCAAATAAATATAATAAGACGTACGGTAGCCGATGTTCCTGTGAAATCTGTATATTTTTAGTTTTTCAGTAATGTTTTAGATTCATCTATTGTATTTGTATAAACAATTTTAGTATACAAGACAAGAAAAAACTTTCAAGTGCAAATATTTTTTAAATGAAGTTCATGAAATGTCACTATTATTTGCATCAACTATTAATTTCACTATTTTTTGTATTATCATCACTTAATATTATATCTATCATATTATATGTATAACATGTTGTATTTTGTCATACATCAGGCTACAATCATATTAACCGAATTGTAGATCACAATTCGGTTAATATGATCAAATATTATAGAATACATTTTCATAAAACTGAAGTGAAATCAGCAAATAATGTCAAAATAGAATATAAAAATTCCAAGTGACAGAGAAATGTTGCCATGTAAGGGATCGAGTCACCAAACAGCTCGATTCCAATTTTAAGCAACAGCTTAAAACTAAGCAGATAAAATAACATTAATTTAGTTTATCATAGATTTTTGAATAACTCTATTGATTTTGTAGGCAGTCAGATACAAGTCCCTCTTCTTCAGAAGCCATCCCCCAATTAAATTCTGAAAAATTCCTCCCCTTTTCCTTGCTCCTGGGAGGGAATCCATGAAAACATCTACTCATTGCTTTTTCCCCAATTTTTAATTTTATACTGGCATGTTCTTTTCCAACAAGGGATACCCTTGAAATATTGAGATTAATGGTACAGCATTGCTCAAATAATTTTCAGAAATGTAAGGAAAAGTTCATATGAACCTTTCAATTAAAGAAGCTGTGAAAAGTTCATATAAAAATTTTTGCCTTTTCATAATTAAAATGCTGTGAAAGTACATATATTATATTGGTTAAATTCCATTTTGATGAAGTGTATTTTTTCCTTATCATTTGGTTAATGTTATCAGAATAATCGTAAAGAAATGTAATCACATTAAGTGGCCCCTACTGTATATGACTATATATGGGATTTCCAAAGTTATCACTTAATTGACATGTTAACTATATAGATTTGATTCTAATAAAAGTTCAGTTATAAAAAAAATTCAGTAATTCAATAAAGTACATTTATTGCAGTCCATAATTTACAAAATACATTCATAAATAGCTTCTTCTAACATATATGAATAATATACAAGTGCTGAAAGTAAATAAACATTATTCTTTATATACGCTATCCTTAGCTTAAATTTTAGGTATGACAGATATTTATGTAAAAACTTATCAAATATTTTATCAGATAAACTGAATAATGAAGAAAAATAGACCAAATCAATACTAATCATAGTATAAGAATTCACAGAATGATAAAAAATACTTGTAACTAAATAACACAATTACACATAGTCTTGCATATTTAATGAGCCACTGAATTTTGATTTCATTTAAACATAGCTTGAGAACTAAATTCTTATTTTAGGAGCTATATTAAATGTATACTTGTAATCTTTTCTCCAAATTTATTCAGCAAAGATTCATTAAATGCTTCAGGTATACATACCTTAATTTTTAAAAATTAAAATAAATCATACAAAATATTTCTAAATCATAATAATAAAAAAAAAAAAAAAAAAAAAAAAAAAAAAAATCAAATACTTTACAAAATATAAATTTTAAAGTTTTTGAAAAGGATATCAATGATTTAGTCACATTTAATAGTATGTTATATGCTTCGTATGAAAATATAAAAACAGTATCTTACCACTAGGAAATCATATAATAAACATCACGCTAAAGTGGCAAATTAGCTGTAGTTTAAATGCAAGAACAATGGCTATAAAATACTGTCTACCCATAAAGTCTACTCAAATATGGAAAAGAACTTGCAAAAATGTCATACTAGGAAGATTCAAGAAGTGAAATTAACTATATCAAGATGCATACTAAAATAAATCTGTCTACTACTAAAAGATGTCAGTATATAAAAACTACTTGCACAAAATTTAATAATGAATTTCAATATAATACTTTGAAGTAAATTCACACATTCCAAGAGTTTCACTACAAAAAAAATTTTGATTAAAGTACAGAATGGGCCAAAAGAGCAAGAAGGCAGTGAGATGATGAAAATAAACTGATTATATACAGTCAAAAGTCGTTAATTCGGACTCGTCGGGACTTCAGCAATTCTGGATTATCGATCATCAGTTTAAATCTCGTAAGATGGCATGCAGAAATTCTAAAATTAAAAATATGAAACCTTAATTTATGAAATAAAGAACAATTATAATTTAAAGGGTATCAAAATTTACAAAAATAAAAAAAAAAAAAAAAAAAAAAAAAAAAAAGCTTAATATTTATTTGTTTACTTTATTAAACATTTCTTTCAATGTAAGTTGTTTTAAGTTGCTTCGTTTTCTGTGATAATACTTTCTCTTTAATTCTATAAACAGACACAATTTCTTGTTCAGTTACAAAGTTCCGCTGTTCAAGTCCCGTTAATTGTTGTGCCGAGAATACTGACTAACTTGTCAATCGAAACTTTTTCGTTTTCACTAACCTCTCTGTCACATTCTTCATGTCTTTATCCATTTTTTGCAGCAATTCCACTTTTTGTTTGATGGACATCGAAACATACTTTCGTTTTGTACGATCTTTTGGGAGCTCCAGAATCGGAAATTCTATTTGACATAATTGAAAGTTCAAGTTTACTTTTATAAAATTGCTCTTACAGTCTGCAAAAAATAATAAGCCGGATCCAATTCGAAGATTAAGGAACAACGCATTCATCAAAATTAACTGAAATAGATAATTAGATAATTTTAGATTATACCGTCCGTTATACATAAAACGTGCACGCGAAAACGTATTCTGCGCTTGCGCACACGTATATGCGCAGTGGTAAAAGGTCTTACGCGCACGCGTAAACACCTATGAGCATGTGTCAACGTGGCGCATGCGCAGAAAGTTTTTAGCTTTGAGGTCCGGATTATAGATCATTCCGGATTATGGGTGTCCGAATTAACGACTTTTGACTGTATTTACTTGTAAAATTTAATTATTAACAAAAATATGTATTTATTTGTAGAATTGAATTATTGACTAGGTACATATATGAAAGAAAACATATGATTAGCAAACCTCTCTCCAGCAGGAGTTGTGGTGTTGGAAATAAAAATGGTCCTTCCCTAGACATTTACTTCAAATTACAAAATTCCTGTAACACAATAAGCATGTATTTCTGGTGAAGATATTTTATAACACCAATGATGACAATGAAATATGTCATCATTATGAAAACATGCTTCATCACAGAAAGTTTTAATTCATTAAATGATATGCGGTTGTTACAAATTAAAAGTATTTCTTTCATGTACTTTAGCACAGTGGTCAGCGTTTCCAACTGGCAAATTAAAAAGTCCCAAATTCAATCAGAACCAGCTACTGCAACTGTCTTATTCAACCTAAAACATTTATATATTTCAGCCTACCATTCATACAGTTATTAAATTAAAGATATTAATTGCAGCTTGTGATAACAACATAACAAATACACTGAGAATTGGCCCATCACCCATGCTTGGAGTTGACCTGGGAATAATTTGGGTTTCCATTTAAATTCAGCTTTAATTTCTCTGATCAGACTCAAGGAACTAATTATCCAATTATGTCTGATAATACTGAATAATGAATAATTTTATGCATTTACTTTAATATACCATGACATACAAAGAACATCATAAAAGTTAATTTTACTCATTATATTGCTGCCAGATGTTACAGTGGCTTGGGGAGCCTATTGTACTACCAAAGGGCCCGGGTTTGAATCCCGGAGAAGGCATGGATTGTCTTTGCAGCATGGGGCACTCTAAATACACGGCAAATTGAAAGTCCTTTTGTGTGGTTTGGTTGTAGGGGAAAGGGGTAGGAGAATTCTGGCCCACCCACCAGGACTCTACAACAACAATATAGACTCGATAACTCGACAAATATGGACTCAACAGCAACTCATCATAGTGAACCAAATGAAAAATTTATGTCTAAGAAATATTACATATGTCAGGCACTCGCATTAAAAAGAAATATCAAATTCTGAGGAGAAAACTGTTCTTTTACAAAATCAATTTATACAGCATAGTACTCATCATAAACAGTACTGTGGTGTTGCCGAATAAATGAGACGAACTAAGAATTAGACTGTACTGGAAATGTGCTAATTAATTAATATAAAACAGAGAAATGACATCTAAATAAAGGAGCATAATAACTTACATTTCTGATACAGAAGGGGACCACCAACAGATCAATAATAGATGAACCAGAAAATTATGGATTAATAAAATTATATTAGACAAGAGGACGATAAAATACTTTGTGTAAAAAGAGATATTATATTATTTTTTCATTTGTTTCTTTAGATAGACATTTTTTTTTCTTGATTATTATTTAAAAAATGACATTTTTATTATTTGAGAAATTGATCTCTGCTTTCCCCCTTCTTTTTAAATTTCTCCTCAACTTTTTAGCAAAGTTTCAGATTTTCCTTGACTTCATGAAAAAGGTTTATATTTTTCTTGGCTTTCCAGGTGAGTCAGAATCCTGTTGATTTGCAGCAAGGACTAAAGTGATATTTTAAGTTTTATATGCACCAAAAAAATTAAAGATCCTACTTTAGCAGCTTTAGAAGTATAATATGGCAAATAATAAATAATTTCACGATTTTTTATAATAATCAACTAAATTAAGGTGATGAAACGTTTGATTTGATGATTAGGTGAAATCGTGATTTCATCTAATTAGGCAGGGGATTTAAGGAACTAGCAGCATTATTTGGTCCTGATGATTCAGGAATCAATATACTTAACTAGCAGATTAAAAATATTTCATTTACTACCCAGCAAAGACATAGTTAACTTCCTGAAGTTTCTAGCTTACCAAAAAAAATTAATGATTACATGCAGCAACCAGTTTGATTTTGAAAGAACTGACATATAAAAATTAAAAAATACCACTCCAAGTACTTGTTTTAGTATCTAAAGCAATCTTAACATTTCAATATTGAATTAAAATGTTTTGTTGGTCAGATAATTGACTACTTCAGTCAGATAACTTTCATTATTATGACCCTTGCATCTTAAAGAAACAAGATACTATAATGAAAGTGGAATAATTAGTTTCATCAATCAAAGAATTTTTGTGACGGTCATCATAATGGAAAGAATGGTATAATAAGCTATCACAGTAGCAAATACCAACTGCATGTATATTACATATAGCTATATAAGAACAGTTATACAACTGCCCTCTTTTGGCCCACCAGTGTGACACTTATTAAAAATTATTCTACTGCATACATGTGCACATGCAACACAAATTATTGCTTCAAAAATTATATACTCAATTAACAAATATCATGCATTCACACTAGGTATTAGAAAAAATAAATAGAAAAATTTAAATATAGTCATTCGATGCTATTCCACAATGACACATCAAAGTGAAGATAGATGTCGTACCTTTCTTTCTTCTTTAATAAGAGCAGCATCAGTAAAAGAAATTTGTATATAAGTGTATGAATAAATAACAGAAAGGCATATTTGAATTTTTTTACAAATCATTCATAAAATAAAATTTAGTAAACAGAATTATCAAATTTAGTATAATTATAAATTATCACATGTTATGATTTTGAAAAATAGGGGCAAACTGCAATAATTCAAAGAAATTGTAATTTCTGGAGGGCGACAACTTACCAAAAATTCAAATTAAGTGCTTAAATGGCTTTCATTGCATCTCAGCTTTGGGCCTATGTTATAGGGCCTACAAAGTTAAAATTATATATGCAGCCATGTGACATTCAGTCAGAGGTAATTTTCATTAAAAGGAAAACAAATTTCATTGGTTCATTCAGTTTGAATAACCGACAAAACGTCTTCCTTTTAACAGAAAAACTTAACATAATCTGAGAAAAAATTTATTTATCACTCATAAAAACTTACTTTTTGATTGGAAGAGGAGAGCCTGCATGTGAGTGACCTCCATTCCTCTGATCTGGCAATGAGCATGTTACCATCATATATGCTTTAAAGAAATGTTTTATTAATATATCAATACAGAGGGGGAAAAACATGATCATAAGAAAAGAATTTACATGACTCAGAAGAAAAATTTCATGATCCCAAGTAACACAAACACATCTTTGGTTATACCATTGTGCCTCCTTGAAAACATACATCCTTGGTCATATTAATGTGCAGAATTTAGGCACTTTTTGTGACCACAGTGTTTGAATAGATTGTACATTGATAACATTTCCTTAACCACTTTGCTAAAATGATGTGTTTTACACATTCTTAGTTTTGTCACAAAGAATTACCAAAAATATGTTATACACATTGGTAGCCTGTTACTCCAACATTTAAAAAAACAATGCCATCTTGGATTTACTCTTTACTCTTCACCAATAACAAAATTGTGATAAAAGATTATTGTTTGTGTAAATTACGAAACAAAATCAACCACTTAAATGGAAAATGTGCGATTATTAACATTCTTGAGGATTGTATCATCATGGCCTGTATGCTCTAATGAAGCATATAAACCATATGCCATGAAAGTAGTTTAATTAAACACAAAAATCATGTTTTGATACAAAGTTTTACAACTTATGCAAATCTAAAACAAACATATGTCATAACGTTGTCATATTTAAAACAAAGATAGCTGAAGAAAAAATAAAAAATTCAGTACCTCGTGCATCATGAAATTTTCTCATTGTCTATGAATACACCAACAGCTGGTATTCAGTTCTTCAGACAAGATTTCAAGTTATAATTTACTTTGCATTGCAATTTAACATTTGGCACTCCATTTGCATACAAGCTGCTAGTGTAAGGGGTTAAATAATGAGAATAATGATATGTTAAAGCTGTAAAGTTTGACAATTCTTCAGAGTTTCAACACTATGAGTTGAAAAATTCACTTCAATTTTCTTTACAATAATTGCCAAGGAGCAAAAATCGAGTTAGTAAAATATTCATCATATTCTACTTAATTAAAGACACACGATTCTATGCCTTCATATGCAAAGTTCACTGAGACGTGCTCAAAAAATATTTTTAAGAGAAAAGCTAAAATCTAATAATGAATATTGTAAAACTTATAGGATGCAAACTCTGAATATTTTTGGATTTTATCAACAGCAGCAGAGTGTGATGTATGAATTTTTAGTGGCATTAGAGATACTGAATTCAAACACTTATAACTGTACAAAAGCAAGGTACAACAAATATCAAAGAGACCAAATTATTGGTACTGCTGTTACCAAGACAGCACATTTTTTTTTTAATAAAGAAGGTGCCACAGTATCTAGCTTCATGTCTACACACCTAGAAAAGTGAAAAACATCATCCATTTGAAGTAAATGCCAAAGTATGAGGAAGTTACCTAAAAGGAAGTTGGGAGAGAGGGGAAGAAAGACAACAACCATAAAACATCAACTACTTAGATTATGACAGAACTTGAATTTTGGCCTGAAATCATACATTTCTTCAAAAACTACCCATTAGGAGCTTCAGAGGATTGATATTCATGGTTGGACATCTATATGTCTTTGATAATCAGCATCCATGTTAAGTGCTATTTCAGAGGTGTAAGGTCTGCAAAATTTGAATACTATACAATGTAAAATTTGTATTGCTCAATAATGAGTCCCTGTCACTCTTTCCAGTTGTTTTTTCCTACTGTGGAAGAGTTTATGTGATGAGAACTGCTTCAGAGATATACGATCTGAACTCTTTCATATCTAAAGTATGAAAGTGGATTGATGTCTGAACAGCAGTGCCATGGAAGTGTCTGGTTGACAGTGGTGGCGGGTTTTCTGGAGTAAAACCTTACAGTTATATGCACCAAACACAAGCACAGAACATTCTGGAGCACAGATCATTTTTGAGGTCAGTACTTTCATGTACCAGGTCTCCCAATAGTTATAACATTGCATCTCAAACGAAAGGTTATGTATCAGGACGACAATGCACAATTCACACTGCAAAATCATTGACAGAACAGTTTGAATGAATATCTTCCAAACTCTGGATAATCTTGTGATCTCAGTACCATCAAGCCTGCCTGTGCTAAGAGGAAAAAATGTCCTTCTTTAGAAAGTGAAGCAAATTTTATTTTTGAAGAATCATAGAAATGTTGCTTCATCCATCTGGATTTCCAAGAAGTGTGAATATTTGTGACATTGTTTTAAGGCATGCACATGCTGCACAAATTTTACTGATGTATAAGATAATATATAAGTAATAAATACAATTTAAAAATTAGTGCTATTTTCTATTACATTTTCATGCATTACTTTTTATGGCATTTTTAATCTCAAACATTTTTAATGTATAAATCTTTAAATTTTGCATAATATGCAAAACTGAAAATTAAAACTTTTTTTAAACTTAATCATTAGAGGGACTTCTAAAATTTTGCTTTCAATTTGCAAGTTTTGAAGAAACTGAGTTTGTAACACATGCGTATAGCAGATTCACGAGTCATTATTTTGCCGAACAGAGCATTTGCTCTAGGTGAGGTGATGTGCAACTCAACCACAGAAACTTTCACTCTTGCTATGGGTCATATGACCAAATGAACATTCAATGGGAACTGGGGACTTCGCATGAGCAATGTAGCACTGAATTGACAGTTTTGAAGTTTGTGCATGTAGTATCATAAAATAAATTTGAGTTTAGCATACCTCATTATATTAATTACTGGTCCTGAGACTTCTTTTCATATAATTTATCTTAAGAAAAATATAAGATTAAATACTTAAAATATGAACTTTTAAAAACAACTACAATAAAATGAAAGTAAGGAAAATTAAAAGCAAACAAAGTTACTCGAAGATTTATATATACACAGCATCTGAGAATGAATTTTTGAAAATGCTTACAATAAATTAAAGAACATCAAACATGCATAATGTTAGTAAGAAAATATGAAAATTATATATTACTGTAGTTACTGTAAGTATTCTATTCTCAAATTTCCAGAAAGATATTTTCTCATTAAAATTATAAATGCAGTATAATAAATAATCTTTCTACAGAAGTAAATTCTCATGTTATAAGATGAACTATAAATAAACATTAAAAAATTACCTTTTTCGGCTTTTCTTCTTTTGCGTTTATTACATATCTTTACGGCACAAATTGCCAAAATTATTGCAGTAATAAAAAACAATATACCCCCAACGACACCTGCAGTAATCGCTTTGTTTCGACCGTAGCTTTCATCATCGCCTGAATAAAACAACAACAATAATAATAAACACTTTTTTATAATTCAACATAACATTTTGATACATAATGCTTAAGAATCTATACATTTTAAAGTTAACATACTTAACCATCTATTATTATTATTTGTTATTATTCTTATATAATTTTTGGGAATATATGAAAATGGTTTTAACTTAACAATATAAGAAAAGATATAGCTTTAATCATAGAACAGGAAAAAGAACTTGAGATTCAATTAAGGAAGCAGTAACTTTTAAAAAAAAACACGACATTTTGCAATAACATAACTCCAAAAATTCAACAGCTTATAACAGTACATTAGGAACATCAACATAATTTTAAAGCATATACTTCAGAGATAAGTGGACTGAAATTTTGTATATCCAAATTCTAAAGTTTTTGTTTTGAAAGAGACTCATCAGTTATGTCGGAATAATTATGAATATGATTAAGATTTAAGTACGAAAGCTTACATTTGAGTTTAAGTATACTGAATCAGGATTTCCACCAATCTAAAGAAATCAGCAATATTCACTACATTTCTATAAATACTAAATTTATCAAGAAAACCATTTTATTCAGACACTACATGAATGTTTTTAATATTATTGACATTTCAAAGACTGGTGAGAAGAATACCATCTGAGAATGTCCATTTTAACTCAATATTTTGTTAACTCATCAAGCTTAAAGTTTTTACCAAAATGGAATTTTGTAAATATCATTAAATGCTTTGAAAACTTTCTGAGTGCTGAAAGTCTTACAATAAAAAATGAAAACTTATCCTATTCTTAATCAATGTCTTAAGCACTACTGGATTCTGAAAAATTGATATAGTTCAAACTGGAAGAGAACCACGCAAATGCATAAAAATAACCTGAGTTTGTAACAGCTTTAGGATAAAATCAATTGTATAAAAATAATATGAGTTTGTAACAGATTTAGGACAAAATTAATCTCTCAATTTCATGGCCAATCATACACAATCGAGGTTAATCAAGATCTCGCTTCTTTAGGGACAAAAATGAGAGAAGAGATAACCATTTTATATCACAGACAATAAATAAAAATAAATGTAGCATCATATGCCAAGGGAAAAAATCGTGAAAAAATAGACATCAGAATTCTGACAGCATTAAGAAGAAATTTATTACAATTAATGTCATTAACTAAAGAAAATAAATTTTTGTGAATGTGAAAAGGATAAAAAATGCTATAAAGTTGGGGGAATTTATAGCATATCTTGTCAGAGTGGATTGAATATATCAAAAGGAGAGTTAAAATTTCACATCAAAGAACATTAATCTTGTGTTCAGAAAAGAAAAATACACCCATCTTTGATAGCTAATCATAGTTGGACACCCAATCGCAATTTTGACTTGGGTTTTGTGAAAATTAGCCATAAAACTTCTTTAGATAGTGGATTTCCTTGAAGCTTTACACATTCAAAAGAAAAGAAAAAAAAAAAAAAAAAAAAACTCCTTTAGCTACAATATTTAATTTCAATCTAGTTCTTTTGAATGCTTTCAGAATTTTAATATCTTATTTTTTTCATGTTTCATACTGTTTTCCTCAACAGATGCTGCTGCATTAATTTCTGATTTGCTCTGGCCACTACTTTCAATATAAAGTGATTACCATGTCTCCTATTTTTAAAGAGGGAAGCAAACCCCTCTTTTTCCCCATTCTTATAATGATAACCCTGCATCTGATTAGCCTCGGAATAATAAAGGTTTATTTACAATTTATGCCAAACTAAGGGGTTTACAGGGTCTCTCCTCTTGAAATAAAAATGTCTTACAAATAATTTGAACATGACTTAGATGCATTATGAGCTGCATCAGAGCTATATTAAAAAATAAAATATAAGAAGTATGTACACTGGTTTTAAATTGCTCAGTCGTTTGAGCAGCACATTTCTTTAATAAAAAAAAAAAAAAATAAAACTTAAGATCTTAAGTCACAAAGAACAGTAAAGTGTGAGCGTTAAGCTTGTTTTTTCACTAATTTCTATCCAAAAATTCTGTACTATTTTTATCCTCTCCTCTTTAAAATAACTTACAAACATCATTTGCATGTAATAAACATATTTTTTACAATTTATTATTATTATTTTTATATAAACATAATAAATGGAGTTTTCTGCTAAATATTAAGTTTTATTTCGATCGTTCCATACGACTGATTCTACGATTTTTTTTTTTTTTTAAACAACATCCATATCCAAAAATTCATGAATATTCATGAATACAACTGCATATAAATATTCTTAAATAGATACGTATGTTCTGTATAAATTCCCATAAAACTTAACTTACTCATCTTAATAAGAAGAGAATTTTGGCAATATTAAAACTGCAATGACCAAATTTTATCATAGTTGGATTGTTTGACAGTTTAATGACATTCTAAAAATACTTATTTATTTATTTATTTTTATATATATACAAACACAAACAAAGGACAAGGAAAAGTGAGTGAGACATCAGAACTTCATGAAATGGTCTCACAGGTATAGTCCCACCGTAATAACTATTAATTGCACCTCAGTTTTGATCAAGCACACCCAGGAGAATAGATTTTAGGGTCTCACAACCCTATTCCCCTATCACCAAACCAATCAAAAGCACATTTGGCTTGCCCAGTATTTTAAGTGCACCCATTTACAAACATTCATGCCTTCTCCAGAACTTGAACCTAGGCTTCACAACATGGCAGGGAGCATCACTAACCATTAGACCCACCACAAACATCTGAATAGTTTGTATATTAACTGGCTCACTGCAAAACATTTAGTTATCGTTTTAATGTTAAACATTAAACACTTTTTATTAAAAATGTGTTAAAATCTGTCAGAATTAAAATATTTTCATCTTTTATTAAAATAATTATATTGAGTACAATTAATACCTCTAAAAATGACAATTATACTGAGTATAATTAATACCTCTAATAAATGGCAGAGACAAAAAATATTGTTTCAGTGTGTATTAGTCATAAGAAATTTAGTGAATAATTTACCTTGAGACTGATAAATTACTTCGGAACTTGCAGACCCCACAGACATAATAGAATATGCATAAACTCGAAAGTGATATGTCTGGCCACTGGTCAATGATGGTACTGCATAAAGAATTTAAAATTTTTAAAACATGATTCTATATAATTTTACATAAAAATACCTATGCCAAACAAATAACAAACTGCAAAAAAGAAAGCAATTTTAACTATTAGATTTGAAGTAATCCACACAATAATATAAAGAGTTTATTGAAATTTTAATTTACAAATAAAACTATATTTTAAATTATTGACACATTCCAAAAAAAGGAGGGGAGAAAAATAAGCACATGTTTTGTTGATTTGCACAAGTTCGAAAAATGTTAGTGCTTTATCCTATATGAAGTGATGATAAATGCTTACCTCCTTACATTTTTAGAAACTGATAACTTAATACTAGACTCCCCTGCTTTCATGGAGTTTATTTATACCATTTTCTTTACAAATGCCATTACAGACTTTGGAATTTTCTGTTCTCAAGTAACAGCTTTTAGAAAAACCAGCTTCAGGACCAGTAAGGCAATGCATAACACAACAGTTGAGCAGCCTCTTTAGATGGTGTCTCCAAACTCTAATCCGGCCATTGTAGTACTGTAGACATAAGCATGATTCACGCGAAAATACAATGTAATGCCATTCGGACATTTATCTCTACCATTCAGTGCACCATTGAAAATGCAAAAACCTCTGGGTTTCAGTTAAAGATAAACGAAGCAATGGACACCAGACAATCCATTGTAGTGTAAACAACATAGAATTAATTGTCCAACTACGTTTGTTGTGATATGGTTGCAGATGTGGCAGTGCGCTCCAACAGTGCTATGTGTACAATATGTCAGTCTTCCCACTGAGTGATGGACAAGGTGGTTGCCTCCTTCGATCAGTTGGTCCCTCCTGCATTCATTGATTCTGTATTTGCATGACTGTTACCTGACTATGTCTGACATGATGACCAATTTCCTGGAAGGATAATCCGCAACCTCTGTATGCAACAATTTAATTTTGATCAAATTCAGAAATGGGCACAAATGATACTGGTGAGCTATAATGAAGCTGCACACATAAAAAATCTCTCAAGAGAACAATTTGTATTATTCAAAATGGCGGCCTTTCTTCCTTTTATATATGGTTTGAAAGGAGCATTGCAGTTGCCTATGATGTGTGTATGCATTCAAATCGTAATTATTTGCATATTCGATCGTGGTATACACACGATGTAAGTTTCATGCTGTTTGGATGCTTCCTTCACGGTATTGCATTTTGGGTGGCCAGCAGTTTGGCATTCAAAATTTTTTTTTCAAATTTTATTTTGACTTAAAGAATCCTTAGTGGATTTGCTTGGAACCCACAGAACATTATCTGGAAATCACTGCATTAAGACTCCTTTTTATTAATTAAAATAAATAATTTTTAATTTTTACAAAGTTTAAGTTGTATTATTTATTTTATACAGCAACTGCAGAAAAACACATAACTTCAAATATGTGGTTATTATTTCCCTGATTTAGGAAGGTACAACTAGACTGTATATATTATTTCTGCTTTATATAGGTTGTTTATTGCATAATTCCAGATCTTACTCTTTCTTAAGTAATATTTAATGTATTATTTAGAATTATATAGTAAATTACATTTTGGGCTAAGAAATTGCTCAAATATATTCCCCCAAAATATTAATGATACAGTCAAAAGTCGTTAATCCGGACTCGTCGGGACTTCGGCAATTCCGGATTATCGATTTTTCCGGATTATAGATCATCAGTTTAAATCTGGTAAGATGGCATGCAGAAATTACAAAATTAAAAATATGAAACCGTAATTTATGAAATAAAGAACAATTATGATCTAAAGGGTATTAAATTTACAAAAAGAAAAAGCTTAATATTTATTTGTTTACTTTATTAAACATTTCCTTCAATGTAAGTTGCTTCGTTTCATGTGATAATACCTTCTCTTTAATTCTATTAAACAGACATAATTTCTTGTTTAGTTACAAAGTTCTGCTGTTCAAGTCCTATAATTGCTGTGTTGAGAATACCGACTAATTTGTCAATCAAAATGTTTTCATTTTCAATAACCTCTGGGTCACTTTCTTCACTATCGGAAGTGAATTATAATGACGAGGAACTTGATTTAAATCATATCAAAGACGGAGTATAGAGATGAAATACTACATTTAGTACGGAATTATAAACCAAATAAAATAAAAACATCTGCTCTGAAGACAAGGATAGTGCTGACAGATCAACTCCCAATTCATTGCGCGCCGCGGCGTCCCATCACCCCGCAGAGCAGCTTGAAATTGATAAACAGATTTCGGATTTCGAAACATACTTTCGTTTTGTAGATCCTTTACATATTAGTAAATATATATCGGAAATTTTATTTGACATAATCGAAAGTTCAAGCTTACTTTTATAAAATTGCTCTAACAGTCTGCAAAAAATAATAAGGCGGATCCAATTCGAAGATTAAGGAACAACGCAATCTGCAACATTAACTGAATTAGATAACTTTAGCTTAGCGTATAACTCCGTTACACATTAAACGCGCATGCGCACAAACATATTCGCAGCTATAAGGGTCTTATGCGCTCTCGTAAACGCCTGTGCGCATGCGTAAACGCGACGCATGCGCAGAAAGTTTGTAGCTTTGAGGTCCGGATTAACGACTTTTGACTGTAGTTTCATTGAATTATGCCATTATAGTTAAGAAATGTTTCACAGAAACATAGTTTTCTTGTAAACAGCAGATGAAACTGTAATTTCATATTTTATCCAAGCGATGCAAATTACAATTGATGCACAAAAAGATATAATTTTCATTTGAAATAAATAGTCCTCTTTTAACTATACTAATTGCAAATTACTTACCAAGTTCTTAATGAATTCTTGAAAAACAAATTCTCACATAAGCATTAAAAAAATGGGGTGAACTGAGAAGCACTTTCACTAACTTTACTTTTATCCCCCATACTTAAACCCACCAGAATCTCAATTCATTACAATTGAAGAATTAAAACTAAATTTATTGAATTTAAAATATTACACATGAACAATATTACCACTATTTTCACACAAAAAATAATTAAAAAAGAAAAATGAATCGAGATGTATTCTTCAACATTTTCTTTTTACTTTAAATGGAACAATTGGGGGGGGGCATATTGAATCAAAATGTAAAATTGTAGCAACAACACTGAAATATTTCTTACAATGACAAAATAAACTACGAATGAATTAAATTCCAGAAAAGAAAATAGGATAAAAAACCTAAATATGATGTTTCATCCCTAATGGGTCCCCAACGTTGCCATTGGCCGTCATCTGTTCGATGTTCCACAAAATAAAATGCAACAGGTACAGTCTGATTTTTTGGTGGTTGCCAGGATATTATGACACCTAAAGGCCCCTTCTCCACAGTTACATTTCTAGGAGGCCATGGTTTGGGACCTAATAATAGAACCATTTGATAAAATTAACAGCACATAAGATTAAAAATAAATATCAAACACACACAAAACAATGAGTGACTCTAGTAAATATTACACCACAATACTATCTTTTTTAATAACATTAATTACAATCAATTTCAAAAGTTAATCCAGCAAATCTCCAAACCATCAGCCCAACAGGCAGTTCAGATGCAAAAATGCTTTCCATCCCTCAAACAATGCCTATCAGTAGCCAAGTGGTAAAATCATTGAAAACTTGTGCAGTTTGGGATTCAAATCTCAGCAAATGGGTCAGCTGCATAGGCATTTTTGTAGTTTTCCTTCTGTGTAATGTATATACGAGCCAGTTTCCCTTACAAAATCCACCTTGAAAGCATCCCTCCTTTTAGGCAGATAGTCCTTGAGTGCTTTGTTATAATTCAATAAACCAAAGCAAACCATCTATCAAACAGGTGTGAGGGAAAGAATCTGGAATTTGAATAAAGTCTTCATCTATTCTTCTTGCACAGAAGAGAAAGTTTTCTTTTGAGAACCAAAAGGATATTCTTTATTTAGCAATCTATGATTATTTAAAATTTTTTCAAATTTTCTTTCTGGTTAACTTGCAGAAGGAGAAAGCTGTCAGCAAGTAAAAAAAAAATAACATTCAAAGCAACATCATATTTTAAAAAATTTGGAAAACATTTAATATTTAAAGGAAAACACAAATAATAAATAAGACACTCATATGCTAATATATTAAATAAGAGGACAAAATACAGAATTTTAGGAACTACTACTCCCTAAAACAGATTTTTGATCAACAAAAAACTTACTAAAACTTTTGTAGCAGTATCTTTTTACAAATTTATAGATCTTGCATGTTTATTTTTATCAACTATTTTAGCTTATGCGTGTGAAAACTAGTACAGTTATGCACATTATAATGATCCTTTGTGCACTATAAAAAACACATTATAAATAATGGCCACTCATTAAAAATGGATTTTAGCATATACTTATCAGGTGGGTCACTGATTTTTCCTGAAATCATCTACAAACCAAAACAAAAGCTGTCTTAAAATTAGAGAAACTACAGAGGAAAAAGATTGGATTGAAATTGGAACAAGATCATGTCACAATAGAGACCTTCCTTTCATTGTGTCATCATTATTATGACATTCCTTTCATTATGTCCTTTCATCCCTACATCAATCCTAAAGAAAACAACAATGCTGCATAAAACTGCAATGAAAAAAAGCACCCTTGACCTAGTCATTTATTTGGAATCCAGCAGACAGACTACCTGCAAAAGCTCCTAAATCAGTAACGTTCCAAAGTGCCTTTTGATTTAACTTACACCATATTTTATTTTAAGTAACTAACCTTTTTCAGTGACACATAATATGTATCTCTTTCAATATACAGCCCATTAACATATTTACAAAATTTACAGAGCTAAAAATAAAATATAAAAAATAAAAATTACAATAAAACAGTAATTAAAATCTTACTTTAGTTATAATAAGCTAATAAATAATGTGTGATGACAACAAATGTGGAAATCTCGTGTAAGAATTAATACAAAATCAGCACAATTTATTAAGGTTTTATTAAGAAGGTTCTTATCTTTAAAATCTTGAGGACTTACTACATGATTTGCTCTCCAACTTATTCAAAATAGCAATTATCTATTTCAAATTCTAACTAAGAAGCATTAATCACCCCACAGGTTTATACACGATCTGAAGAATATTTCTGGAAACTTTGCTGCAGGATATTTACAGAAGGTGAAAATCAGCAGGTAAAAAGTGTTGATAATTTGGGTAGCATTTTTGTTGCTGTCGTTCCTTCTTCTGTCTAACTAGTATTCTGTAAATTCAAGCAACTGGAAATATTTACATGTCTGGCTGTTCCACTATTTAAAGCTATTTCTCTCTCTCTCTTCCCCCCCCAAGCTTTTGAGAATATAAAACCAGGAGAAAAGCTATGAATAAATCTTAAATGTGTTAATAAAAATTATTCCAATCTTAGAATGCCAGCAACAGACAAAAAATGAATCTGCTGGCTGTCAATAAATAGGCTCAAAATGCTAATTCAGAAGTCAAACAACAAAAAATCAGTGTTCTATTTTCAAATTTTCACAGGACTAGTTTCAATGGTTTTACCGAACCACCATCGTCAGCTGCAAAAGCTCAAATGAACGAGATGGGATACAATGATCAGATAAGATAAGAAAACCTGGACAGAAAATAAGCTAGTGGCACCATCTGTTGGTGAAACCAGAACTAAAGCATAATTTCTTTAAAGGCCAAAGGCAAAGATGGATTTTTCTGTTCTAGTTAACGATCCTAATTCCCATCCATCTTTGCCTTCGGCCTTTAAAGAAATTATGCTTTAGTTCTGGTTTCACCAACAGATGGCACCACTAGCTTATTTTCTGTCTAGGCTTTCTTAACTTATCTGATCATTATATTTCATCTCGTTCATTTGAGCTTTTGCAGCTGACAATGGTGGTTCGGTAAAACCATTGAAACTAGTCCTGTGAAAATATAACGCTGATTTTTGTTGTTTGACTTCTGAATTAGTATTTGTTCAGCGTGTTATTGTGTCTTACGGCTCAAAATAGTTATTTAAAATCGAAGAGATTTAAAGATCTGTCATAAATATATGGAAGTCAAAATTTTTAAGACTTGACACAAATTATGATGAAGTCTTCTGATTTTTTTAACTATGCAGTACATTTTCAGTATCTCAAACATCAAAAAATATTCATTTCTATTCCCTGCCAGCATCAGAATTCAGACACAGATGCTAAGTTTCAAAGCTCATGGCAAAAATTTTATTAAATGCATTTTAGATGCATTTAAAGTACATAAATTAATATCTTTTCCACAATTGTGGAAATAACTTCAAATACTCCTGCAAATAACTGTCAAGAAATTGGTAAGACCATTCAAAATTATTTTTTTAACTGTTGCTTTCAAAATTTAGACAATGAAATAATATTCAGACAATGAAATAATGTTAAAAATTTATTGAAATATAATGTGGTTGTATGAGTCATTATATGAATATATGTGTATTACATGAGTTTATAAATATTAGTTGTGTAACAACTACATGAATTGAAAATTCTCTTTTTTTCCTTTACAGAACAAATTAATAATTTCAAAATTACAGCAAGTTCTTAATATAACAAAGTTTCTAAATTTTGTTTCTGTCCCCCCCATCTAAAATAGTCTTATAATTGTCAATTCAAAATTCATATAAAATTATATAATTTATAAGATATTTTTTTATTTTAAACAGAGTTCATAGCCACATTTTAGTTAAAAAAATAAGCACCTATAAGCACTTTTCAAGCACATTTTAAGAAAAAAAAATAAGCACCTGTCTAATTACATTATACACAACTGCATAACCTTAAAAGAAAAATTAGACTTGCAATTTAAAATATGAGCAATGCAATATTTATTAAGAGAATGAGCATTACCTCAACCATGGAAAACAATTAACTTTTTTTTTTTTTTAATTTTAAATGACAGTTCAATTTACAGAATTAGTTTACTATGAGAGAAAAAAAAAAAAAACTATGCAGAACTAAACTATATTACAAGATTTAATAATGAAATTTCAGTTCAAAATATAGAAAATAAATAATAATAAGCCATATTAATTGTATTCGCTTGGCACCTGATAATAAAAGCAATTTATTTTTCCACTCATATTAATATTTAAGTAATTTAAATCAAAATTCTGAACATTTTCTAATTTTTTATTGCATAGCAGTTTTCCCTTAACATATATTCCAAGCAAAGTAATTTGAGTAAAAAAGAGGAACATTTCTGAAATCAGGAGACGGGAAATTGCTTCATTCAGTCATCCTTTAACAGTAAAAGCTTAACTAACCTCCATAATCGGAAATTGACGAATATTCTGTATAGTGGAGCGTAACTGGAAAAAGAGGAGAGGGGGGAGATTGTAGCCGTTCTTTAGATTTCTCGGCTAAATAAATGATTTTGACATTTCGATATGTGCATCATATAAAAATAGACCAATGGAACTAAGAAATATTCTGCTTAGGAAGAACAGTAAAACTCTTTTAAGTGTTCATAAATAAATCTCAGACTGAACATCAAAATTAATTATCTCTGCAAAATACCGCAAACGTTATTGCACAATTCTTCCACATGTGATATTACACAATCGGAATCAACAGCTGCCGGTATTCGGAGAATAAAGAACTAAATAAAGGAAAAGAAAGAGACTTACTAATCTGGGGTGTTTTTGATTCTAATTTTGAACAGACCGTTAAATTTCCGGAATAGAATCATTCTTCGCTTGGGTTGGGTAGACCGCAAAACTTTTAGTCCTACTCGATCCAGATTGGACAGTGACAAAAAAAAAAAGTCCGCGCTGCTTCAACATTAGAGATTTTGCAGAGAAAGGGGAGAACCTCCCAACCTCCGTACTGTATAATGCATTCGCAAAAGACAGGGGGAAAAAAAAAAGAAAAGAAAAGAAAAAGAAATTATTCTGACTATTCGATTACTTTCCTTTTATTTAAGCCATTCCGAATATTATTCCTTGGAAAGCTAATCTGTGTTAAAAAAAAAAAAAAAAAAAAAAACTTTTTTTTTAGAAGTTTATCTACATTTCAGCAGCTACTGCAACTATATTATTATAAATATTCATACATATGCTCCTAATATAAGCATAACGATCATAATAAACATGAATATGAACTGACCACGCGGAACGAGAATGTAAATAATTAAAATCTTGATAGAAATTCCAACGTGTGTAGTATTTGGGTGGGAGGAAAAGAATACCGAATATACCGGAATTTCTACGGTTTTTGCAATTCTTTGATTAATAGAATGACCTGTCTGCACTCTCGCGCGCACCATACGTTATGTTAATGCAAAGAAAGGGGGAAAAGCTATTTCCAGGAGTAAGATTCACCATCTGACATTCCATATAAGGAAGAAAAGTTGTTTATTTAGTTTCGGCTTTGGTACAGGGGGAAAAATGTGCATTCATTAAAAAAAGCACTAAAAGCAAAAAATAAGCGCTAAAAACAAAAAATAAGCACTAAAAACAAAAAAATAAGGGCTTTAAAGAAAAAGTAAGCACCTATAAGGTCCTTTATATTTTATTTTCAAATATATGGACTTATAAGCACTTGTAAGGAATGCTACGAACTCTGTTAAAAATTAACATTATGTTTCCATAAAACAAAAAGACTCACCTAATACAGATAACTCTAAACTCACACAGTAAAATATTTACAGAATTTCAAAGAATAACAACATTGTTATTCCTTGGTAATTAAGCAATGGAAACTCTAACTATGAAATCACTGGAAATTTTCAATCAGAATTATTTAACAAACAATTTTCAAGCAAACAGCAAGCAAACAATTTTATATTTTACATAATGCTGATATATTTGAATTTGAAAGAAGGATTTTTAAAAGAGCATCAAAAATAAATAAACAACTTATGATAATACCCCTGCAGAAAAACAATGACAGCTCTTATTAGGTGTCAAGGCCTGCACTATTTATAGACAATTAGTCAAAACTTAAAGGCACAAATTACTTTAACAACATTTAAGGAAGAATGTTAACGAATATATTCATGTTTATTATGCACAAATTAAAGCATTTAAATATTTTTTATTTTTATCGTTTTGGATGGATAGAAATAGACCAAAATATTTAACATCAAAAGCATCAAGTATTTAACATCAAAAGATGTTGTATTTGTTAGTCCAATACAGAAAGTGAAAATAACTAAAAATGAAATTTGCTTCCCCTTTACACAACAAAAAAAGATCACTTTACTTCAGTAAACATAGACTTCATATATATATACTTTACTTCAGTATTTATAGACAATTAGTCAAAACTTAAAGGCACAAATTACTTTAACAACATTTAAGGAAGAATGTTAACAAATATATTCATGTTTATTATGCACAAATTTAAGCATTTAAATATTTTTTATTTTTATCGTTTTGGATGGATAGAAATAGACCAAAATATTTAACATCAAAGTATTTAACATCAAAAGATGTTGTATTTGTTAGTCCAATACAGAAAGTGAAAATAACTAAAAATGAAATTTGCTTCCCCTTTACACAACAAAAAAAGATCACTTTACTTCAGTAACAATTTATTTGAATAAATAGCCTAAGATTCTGTAAGCTATTAAACTGACGTTCATATTTTTTAATAGCATAAAATGAAACTTTATATACCAAGCACATTCACATTTCTTAAACTAAAATGTTATGATCTCAGTTAATTATAAATGATAACACTATACTTGTATTCTTTCAGAGAGATTCTTCAAATCCCACAACTTAAAACAGTTTTAAATTTTAAAATATTTTGCAAACAGTTAATAATTATAAGAAAATTATTACCAGAAGGTTTTTGTACTGTAGGAATGTAAGTAGCGCCATAAGCATCAGTAGGATAAACACCACCAAGGTAATCCCATGCTATAAGAAATAAATGTGCAAATCAATGACAGCTAATATAAATCTCCTTCCTAAGTCGTATGTCAAAGGAAAGTACAAGAGCTGATTGAAAAGTCTTAAGACTGCCTAAGTTCTCTTTTCCAATACTAGACATGGCATTTTTGTCTTAGGTTTTATGAAAACTATTCATCAATACACTTGAATCTGCAGTTAGAGACACACATAGCTTTCAGTATTTAGTCACAGTGAGTAGAAACATTAGCTATAACGAGTAGAACCTGGTATGTTTATTGTGGTGGGTGAGGAAGACTGCTCTCTAATATAGTAGAGATGTGAATGAATTCTGTGTTAAACTTAAAAAAAACTGTAACAAAAGACTTGAAATATTACAGCATACACCTGGTAATGAAAAATTTAGCTGTGCTTTAGTATTTGATTGGCAGACAAATTTCAGAGCAGTAGCATGCGAGTGACTGACAGAGTACATTATGGCAAGTTGTCCACTTCAATTACGGATGCCAACACTGCACACTGATGGGCAAACAGTAAACAGAGACTATTATGTAAATGTCTTGAAAGCCATTTATGTAAAACTATTAGGGAAAAAGCCTGGACTGTAGAGACTGTGGTTTTGCCTCAGGTCAATTGCCTGGCTACATGTTCTTCCTTTGGCACCGGCAGTAGTAAGACATCCAGCATATAGTATATATACATAATGACATGATTCCTGTGCATTCTCAACATTAAGAAGGTGATTACACATAAAAAGGATCTCTTCAGATGAGGAAGTGAAAAGTGCCATCTCCTAGGTGCTGTAGAGGATATCACAAATGAATCTAACCATGTTTTAAGCTGTTTATAAAAAATACTGCAAAAAGAGTTAACTCAAATTTAGAAAAGAAGAAAAAATACAGGATCCATCCAGACTCTGAATATAAGATTTCGTTTTAAAACTTTTCAATCAGCCAATACAAATATCAAAAGCATTGCAGCAAACTAAGGAAATCAGAAGTAACCTAATTTCATACAGATGTTAAAAACTGTCTTTGAAAGAGTAAATACTGCTACATCTGTACATATTCTAAGACCTATCGCAGTTTTATATGAAGCAACATTTAAACTTTATATAAATATATATATATATTACATTATAGTATATAAATAAATGCTGCATGTAATACAATGGTTTTGCAGTATAAATAAATTTTGATTGATTTAATTCATCATAAAATATTTAAATGTAATTATAAGTATTACTAGATATTATCAACATTAAATAAAGGAATAATGAAGCATTTGTAAGTTGCATTGTATATTTATTAGGTACTCTATATAGTATAGTATCCTTACTTTCACTATTACAAGATAACTATACACTTACTTTCAATATATATGTATTATTAGATATTATCAGCATTAAATAAAGTAATAATGAAGCATTTGCAAGTTACACTGTACATTTATTAGGCAATCTGTCTTAGTTTTACACTTCTAACCATGAAAATAAAGAATTCTAGCATTATATGAAAATAACAAAGCACAGGAAAAATAGTATATTATATAATACAGTTCATATTGCCCACCAGTGGCCGAGTGGTAAAGTTCCTGAACACTGGTAATTCGGTCCAAAATTTCAGTCCCACAAATGAGCTGGCTGCATGGGCATTTTGATGGTTTTCCCCCATGTTTAACATGGTAAAATGAGCCAGTTTCCCTTAGAAATTCCTCCACGAAGGCATTCCCTCACTCTGTTTAGTGCCTTATAGAGGAACACGTAAATAATAATAATGATAAACGTTCATATTATCAGACAATTTCAAAGAAAGACTGAATCCACTTTCATTTTCTTCTACATTTCTACTTTCATTTAAGGTGCATTTTGCAGAGTTATCAAAAGTCACATACATCAAACTTTCAAAAAATGGAGATATGGATATTGATGGAAAATTTTTTCCAATGGTTGATGTCCACGTATTATAACAAGGAACACATCACTTGAAATTCCAATAGCAGATTACAATGTTAACCTTTAAAAATCGTTTGTCTGGTCATTTGAGCATTACTTCACACCACATAGAAATTGCTGAAGCATTTAAAGAGACCATTTTTAAATGTTCATGAACCTAGCAATAAAATGATTTTCTGCCTGTTCATCTGATTTTAAGAAACTGGAAGCCTTCATAAAAAAATTAAATGGCAGCCCGTCTTTTTGGAGGTCAGACAAAATAAACGAAGTCAAGAATAAAACGCTGCAGTCACCAATAAAACAATCTGCCATTAATGTCCATTTTGAAGATTCCATAATTTTTTAAAGTAAGATGTGTATAACTTTTGTATCACCTTGTACAAGCTATTTATTTCTTTAAATGCTCTGCATACAATTTTTTAATGTTATAGTAATTTGTGAATCTGTGGAAACTTGGTCAATCATATCTGAGAGTATGACTGTAATAGATATGAAAACATGATTATTCACAAAAACAAACAACACAAATGTAAAACACTGCAGTCAATAACGCATCTCATAATTTCATGTTTAAAAAGAAAGTCCTACATTACAATATAAAAAAAAATATACGGTAAATTATGTTTTTTATGCTTAAGTTGCTTGTTTTATTTAAAATGATAGTGAATAAGAAATGCTATAATTTAATTTTTTATTTCACATTAGATAAAATTTAAAAAGAAAGTGAAACTAATTAATTACATGTGAAAAAAAAAATCAAATATATGATTGCAAGTCCTCAAAAATGAGAATCCTTACATTTGTACAAGAGATATGATACATGTTAAAATCAACTGATATGATTATAAGGATCAACAATTTGTAGGGAAAATAAGATTACAGGAACAATTAAAAACAACAGCAGCAACTTAACTTATAATTACAATAAAAGCTTGACTGCCAGGAAAGTTATGGAAATGCTGAATGCTTAATATGTGAAAATTCCAGACAGTTGAGCCCAATAATCATAATAACGATAATGCAATTCAAGATAAAAAAACAAAAATGATGAAGAAGAAATGTATCTAAAATTATAAAAGCAGTCATTTTAATTGTTATCAAAAACCTAGATTTATATAAAAAAATAAATAAATAATAAATAAAACCCCCATTTCAGACATAAAATCCAACATATTTTTGCAAGCCTAAAACATATAAAAGTAAAACATCAACAGATAATAAAATCGTGTTGACCATGAAACCTAGTAGAGATACCACCAAACTTGCAACAACCATACTGGCAAAAGTCTGAAGGAAAAGACAGCTCTTTGTTTGGTCACATGATCAACAGACATATGTTACAAATATAGCATATAAAAATTTTTAACCACTTATTATAATTCTTCATGTTGCATTATCACTGTTAATACATTTTCAAATAAAGCTGGCTACCATGCCTATTAATGCAACTTTCTTGATGCTAAGATCCCGCAACTTTGAAATATTCCACTACATGCTGTTCCACATCTCAAATTTTAGTCATTTTTTTAATATGCAGGGAGGGAGCTTACATCCTTTTTTAAAAAAATTAAACTACTTCAAGAGAATCAGTCATGTTTACATAAAAGTTTGCAAAGATCTTACAGATGTGCGAGATATCATCCATCAATGATACTAAATCACACAATCTGGCAACATTTTTTGTCAAAAATGATTTAATACGACAAATTTCTATGAGGAGTGCTCAGTTCCAAGGATGAATTCTTGGAATATGAAACTTGGACGGAGGGAAGTTAACAAGATCTTCTGAAAGAAAGCTGTGTTATTGTATTTCCATTTTAAATGCTATAAGTGGGATAACGAGTAGTAACCCTATACATGGTTCTTAAAGCATTTACAAATTTCTTATTTGTGTAATTTTTCATTTTAAAAAAAAATCTAAAATATTCCAGTTAGTTGAATGCAGGATAGGCAAGTTTAAACTGTACTTATTTTAACTAATGATAGGCCAGAAAGATGAATAACTACCATAAAAGTAATATTTGACTTGATAGATAAAGTGAAAGGAAAAATACCATAAGTGAAGCTATATCTCTCAATGGACACTCATGGGACAAAGACCTTTGCTTGTTATCAGGAAGTGTCTCTTAAATGGAGCTGCACTGATATTTTATTTTAAGGATACCAAGATTCAGAAACGATTCATTAATAGGAAGTGTCTACTAAAATGGCATGTCTGTTAATAGAGATTTTGTTACATTTATTATTTAACTTTGTAAGTTAAAAATATCAACCAGATCCAAAATTAGTCAATTTCTTTTTTTTTTTAAAACTTTACTACTAAAAAGACTATTTTCTGACTTCTGTATTAAATCCTGCATCTAGCTAAATTCAACATTCAAAACAAATATGATGCCTTTTTTATTTTTAGTGTAATCTAACACATGCACTTCGAATTTATAAAATGAAAGCTTCACATCTTCATATCTTTTAATTAAAAATTCTTTAAAAACGAAAAGGAATACAGTTAAAAATAATGGCAGAAATCGAGCATTTTATTTCTAGTGTAACATTTAAAAAATAAATAAATAAAATATTTTAATGGAACTAATTATTTGATTTTTCAAAAACTGTTTCCAAATTAAGTCAAAAAAGGGAGAAAAACTAAGGACATTTCGAAAACATTTTCACTTTCTCACAGATAATGCCTTTTTTTTTTTTAATTTATAAAATTACTTTATTATTATTAAATTACATTTTCAAATTAATATTTTAATTTTAAAGTTTTTGTAAATAAACTGTAAACATTTTCATTCAATATTCATTTCTCAATCACTAAGATATCTTACTTAATAAATAGAAATTTGTTTTTTTATTTAAATAACACTAAAATTAAAGGATACACATAAATTACCAGTAAAACTTCATGATTACAAACTGAAAATTATCATGTTGAATGCTATAACTTACTCTTAGTCCGGGCTTTAACAATAGGGCTGAACAAACCATCACCTAAAATATTCCTTGATAAAACTTGAAATTCATATTCTGTATCTGGCTGTAAATTATAAAGTGTGACTGTTGTTGCACCTTCAGGTACAACCCGCACTGTACGCCACTCACTGATGCCTTGATCTGCCAGGCGATACCTAAAAGTAAAAAAATATTTAGGGCTTATTAATATTTTTACTTTTTTGAACTTAATAATATTAATGTATTTTTATTTGTGGGAAATGTTATGTCATGATATTCCCTAATCCCCTACTGTGATGTATGCATTGCGTCAGCATGTGTTTCCCGCCTTCGGGAGAAGACGAGGATTAGCTGGCGAGCGGAGCAGATGTCGCTCGATCGCTCGTATACCATTTTCATTAATTGTAATCCTAATGTAATCTGTATTTGTAAATAGTAATAAATGTGTGTTACCAACTATGGTCGTTGCCTCTCCCCACATTTTGGGGGCTCGACCGTGCCTTTTGTGCATGCGTTAATCGAGCCCTAGACACCAGCAATCACTAAAGACGTTCAGAAAGCTAACAAAGGCAAGACGTGCCTTTATGACGATTTAATATTCTTCAAGCCAGACGACGTGCCCTTATGACGATTTAATATTCTTCAAGCTGGACGACATATGTGAATGATGTTATATGCTACTTGTCCGTTCTTCTGATTTTGGACGTTAAATCGAAATTCGATTTTGGATTACATTGGATTTGCAAAGATAGATATTGGATTATAAGGACTGCTGCGAAGTTAGGTAGGCCCATTTTCCCCGGATTCGTTCATAATTTATTAGTATTACGATTTTAAGCTGTGTTTATACTGTTTAATTCTCATTCATACATACCCTATTTCATATTCATATTGTCTTATTTTACTGTTTAAAGAACTATGGCCCTAAAATTAGGTGATATCCCATTGATAGCGAATTCTCTTAAATATGGCACAACACGAGTTATTAAATTATTTAATACCGTGCTCGGATATTCCGATTTTGATCATTCTTCTTCGCGAAAGAGAATGCGAAATTTTGCCGCGTTCCCGGACAGTTTCGATTTGGCAAAACATAAAGAACTTCTATTAAAAGATTTCTCTTTATCAGATTTTATATCAGTGGCGAATTTATTGCATTTGGAAGCTTCCACTAATAAAGATGTTTTATGTGAAAAAATTTTTCATGCGCTCACTAATCTGACGGATTTTCACAATTCCCTAGATGTTAGTTTTTTATCCGATGACGATCATTCAATTTCAAACACCGACAGTGCACCGACGCCTGTAGGTCTAAGTTCTTCTGTTCCCCCTTCCCCTCCCTCCACGGCGCCAAGCCCAAATCGCGTTGTTTCTTCTGACGCGGAAGTAATAAATTTGAATTCGAGTCGCTCCGGTGTTTATATGACGGCGAACACCGAGATTCGCGAGATGAGTCATGATTTATGGTTTATTTTGAGAGATCTTTCAAACACTTGCAGAAACTTTTCAGGCAATGATTCCTATTCAGTCCGTGCTTTTTTCAACGATATAGAGGATAATTTCCAATTATTCCCAAATCTTACCGACCAGCAAAAATTAGTTTTTGCGAAACGACTTGTTGTGGGTACTGCTAAAACTTTTTTGTTTTCACAACGGAATCTCAATTCATACGACATGTTTAAAACACATTATTACTTAATGAGTTCTCCGATAAAATTACGTCTATTGAAATTCATAAACAACTCGAAAGAAGAAAAATGCGCTCGAATGAAAGCTCTTTGCAATATTTTATCGCAATGCGCGAAATTGCGAATCGTGGTGACGGTGTTATCGACGAGGCTTCTGTCATTCAGTATACCATTCAAGGAATACTAGGTACCCCATCCGATAAAATTATTCTCTACGGTGCAAAATCATATTCTGAATTCAAGGAAAAGCTACGCACTTATGAATCTGTAGTTACGACTAGACATACAAATATCTCTCATCCATCAAATTTTAAAAATACGAATAATGGCCCCAGACGTGGTACTGGACGAAAAAATTCAGACCAACAACACGACACGAAATTTAATAATACTGGTCCATCTAAAACTAAACCACAAACTTGTTTTAACTGCAATGAGGTCGGACACCTCTCACGGTCCTGTCCTAATCGTTCTCTTGGCCCAAAGTGTCTAACTTGTGGTCGTTTTGGACATAAATCTATGGATTGCCGCCCCACTACATCAAATGAGATTCCACTTCCACTCCACCTGCCGAAGTAAATACAGTACAAACCTCTCACGGTAATATGTGTAAAACTGTCGTTATACTCAATAGCACAGTTTCTGGATTAATTGACACTGGAAGTGAGGTCACATTACTGAACGAAAACACACATGGATTCAACTTGGTTCCCCACCACTTTCAAATAATTCTGGAGTGTTAACTGGTTTCGGATTCTCGAAAATTCCTATTATTGGCTATTTTCAAACCATTATCAACATTGATAATCAGGACTTTCCGGCTAATATTAGAGTTGTTCCAAATCATTCTATGCAATTTTCTCTTATTGTAGGATGTGACGTAATTAAAAATGCTAAATTAACTATTACACCAGACGGTATATATTTTTCAAAACCTCCCGAGCAATGCTTTGAAACTGCTCCTGAATCTTTCATTTTTGCAATAAATGACGATGTTCCAGCTTTTGATATTGGTTCAAATGTTTCCAAAGAAACTCGTGCTGCGGCAGAACGTTTGCTGAATTCTTATGTCCCAAATAAAACAAAGACGACAGATATTAAACTTAATATCACTCTATCCGATGATAAACCGATTTTTCACCCTCCTAGACGCCTTCCTTTTGTTGAACGGGAAATTGTTGACAAACAAATAAATGAATGGTTGAAACTTAAAATTATTGAACCTTGTTCATCTCCATATGCCAGTCAAGTTCTCGTGGTGCGTAAAAAAGATGGTACACCCCGTGTTTGCATCGATTATAGGAAACTTAATCGACTTTTAATTAAGGATCATTTTCCTCTTCCTCTTATTGATGACATTTTGGATAAACTTCAAGACGCGCCAAATTTTTAGTACTCTTGACCTACGTAACGGCTTTTTTTCATGTGCCAGTAGCGGACGAAAGTAAACCATATACAGCTTTTGTAAACTCACAATGGACAATTCCAGTTTCTTCGAATGCCATTTGGTCTTTCAAATTGCCCTTCAGTATTCCAGCGCTTTATAAATTATGTTTTTCGTGATTTAATTGTCAAAGGTTATGTTTTACCCTACATGGACGATGTAGTTATTATTCCCGCCAAAAATGAAAATGAGGCCATTCATCGTCTCAACCAAGTACTCAAAGTTGCTAGTGAATATGGTCTAGAAGTTAATTTTCGTAAATGTCAATTTCTTCACAAAAAAAATCGAATTTCTTGGACATATCGTTGAAGGTGGTAAACTTTTTTTTTTTCCTTCCCCTTCGAAAACAAAATCTGTAATTAACTACCCCGAACCTAAGAGTACGAAAAGACGTCCAACGCTTTCTCGGTCTCACGGGATATTTTAGGAAATTCATCCCCTCATATTCTAGCATTGCAAAACCCCTTAGTGATCTCCTTCGTAAGGACACCCCCTTTCAATTTCATGCTGATCAGAAAGCCGCATTTCACAGATTAAAATATTTTGCTTTCTCAACAACCAGTTTTAAGTATTTTTAATCAAAAGAGTCCTATCGAAATTCATACCGACGCATCCATTGATGGCTTGGGGGCAGTCCTACTACAAAAATCTATGAACGATAACAGCTTTCACCCCCTGTCTACTACATGTCAAAGAAAACACATCGGACAACGAGCGTAAATACACCAGTTATGAACTCGAAGTCCTTGCAATTGTTGAAGCTTTAAAAAAGTTCCGTATTTACGTCCTTGGTTCACATTTTAAAATTATCACTGACTGCAACGCTTTTGTGCAAACTTTAAATAAAAAGGAACTCAATTCGAGAATAGCCCGATGGGTTTTATATCTCCAAGATTTTGACTACGAAATTGAGCACCGTACCGGCTCAAAGATGGCTCACGTGGATGCCCTCAGTCGCAGTCCATGTTGCATGACTATCCAAGACAGTGTCCTTCTCCAATTTCGCAAAGCACAAGAAACCGACGAGCATATTACGGCTATTAAAGCACTCCTTCAAACACGACGCCTTCGTATGATAACTTTCTCGTTAAGAACAATCTCCTGTACAAAAACGTCAACGGCATTGACTTACTTGTGGTGCCTGAGGATATGCAGGCAAATGTCATTAAAACAGCTCACGAACGAGGCCACTTCGCCGTAATCCGCACTCAAGAACTTTTAAAACAACGAATATTTTATCCCAAATCTGAAAGAAAAAATTGAGCGGTGTATCCATAACTGCATCCCATGCATCCTCAATAATCGAAAAGCGTGGCAAACAAGACGGACTTCTGCACCCCATTGACAAAGACGACGCACCCTTGCACACGTACCATACCATATCGACCACTTAGGTCCCCTTGCCACCACATCAAAGAAATACAAACATATTTTGGCAGTTATAGACTCGTTTACTAAATTCGTGTGGCTTTATCCGACAAAGTCTACAGACGCAGATGAAGTTATCAGTCGGCTGGAATCTCAAAGATCAGTCTTCGGAAATCCTTCACGGATTATCTCTGATCGAGGCCCTGCATTCAAATCCACTGCATTTGCAAACTATTGTGACACACAGAGAATAAAGCACGTTCTTATTACAGCTGGCCTCCCACGATCGAACGGTCAAGTTGAGCGTTTGAACTCCATTATTATTGCTGTCCTTTCTAAACTCTCCATAACCAACCCTGAGCAATGGTACCGCCATGTTCCCGAACAAATTATTAATTCAACTTTTCAACGTAGCATCATCAATTCCACTCCCTTTGAACTTCTCTTTGGGACTAAAATGAAATCGCAAAACGACATAAACATCGCTGCTCTAATCGACGAGGAGATCAAATCTGCATTCATTCAGCAACGTGACGATCTCCGTAAGGACGCAAAACAGCAAATCTCTAAAGTGCAAGACGAAAATCGCCGTACTTATAATTTGCGACGAAACCAGGCACAAAAATTTCAACTTCATGACCTCGTGGCTATCAAACGAACTCAGTTTGGCCCTGGTCTAAAACTCAAACAGAAATTTCTCGGACCTTATAAAGTCACCAGGCTCAAACAAAATGACACATATGATGTGGAAAAGTGTGCATTTTTCGACGGACCATCCAAAACATCTACTTGTGCTGAATACATGAAACCCTGGTCCAACAATATTGACCGTATCACTTGATTTTTATACAACTGTCAGCATTATAGGTCCTCCTGTGTTTGGACAGATGACACCTGAGAACTTTCTAATATTTTTTCAACTTTCTAATTCTTTTTCATATCAAATTTTTAATTCATTTTGTCATACTAATGTTCTTTTTATTTTTAGTTAACTGCTGTGGTGTGTTTAATCTTCTCCATTTGTGTAAGTATCCTCAGCTTTGTATCTACAGATTATTTTTTTTCTCATACCTATGTTACTATATTATAATATTTTTTTTTAATTTGATGATATATTATGTTGCTTCAGGCGAGGTCGCCTGTCCGGTCATGATGGCCGAATGTGGGAAATGTTATGTCATGATATTCCCTAATCCCCTACTATGTGACGTATGCATTGCGTCAGCATGTGTTTCCCGCCTTCGGGAGAAGACGAGGATTAGCTGGTGAGCGGAGCAGACGTCGCTCGATCACTCGTATACCATTTTCATTAATTGTAATCTATATTTGTAAATAGTAATAAATGTGTGTTATCAACTATGGTCGTTGCCTTTCCCCACATATTAATTTTTAAATTTTTATTATTAATCATACAAATCAAATTGTAATTGTTTTCAATTACCATATGACATAGGTCTGTTCATAGTTCCCATCATAAGCTGGAAGCCAAGTAAGGGTGGCATCAAATGAACTTGTATTGACAGTCACATTTGTAGGAGCATGAGGAGTGGTACCTACACAAAGGACAAAAGATTAAAATGAAGAGTCAAATTTAAATTGATAAACATTTTATATTATCAATACTAATATTACACAGATACAATATTACTCCAATACTAATATTACACAGATAAAATTATAACTTTAATTTGTAATAATCCCTAAAGCCTTCTTTTCAGTTTGGTTGATCCCCCTTTCTACGGCAAAAACTGTAAAATGCTCATTAAAAATCTCATTTATTATTTTATTTATCATAATATTTAAAGCAAAACATTCTTAATCAATAGTAATGATGTCTCAATCTATTGAGAATTAAAACAATTTCATTACCTTTCATCATCCACATCAGTAAATAATCTTGCTCTTCTAACACCTGCCTTTGTCTAACCAATGTGCAGTGCAATTCTCTTTACCATCATTTATAATGCTGTAAATATTTAAACCAAATGCTCCAAATTATTAAGCAACAGGTGCACTCACGATGGCACTTGCATTGTTTCATTAGATTTTAGAAGATGGTTTTATATTCCCTCATTATGCTTAAGAAGGCATTTAGATTGCTTCATAATGCTTATTATGTTTTTACAGTCACACTTTATTATGTTTTATGAATTATATCAAAAGCAAAGAAATGTATCAACTACTTATGAATCAAACTTCACTGTATAAAAACTGCCATCTTCAGTTTGTTTTCATAAACTTTCCAACTGGCATAGAGTTTCGCTAAGAAACCCCAAATTTTCCAAAACTGCCATGAGAAAAAAGTATTCTCTTGATTTTTAATCCCAAAATCCACTGGTACTATATACTTAGATTTATATATTTTAATATATTGCCTTAAATTCTTGGTCATATTTCAAAATGCACACATATACCTTTTCTTAAAAACATTACAAATAATATTCCAGGCTGTTATTTATGGCCTTGCCAGTGAGAAGGATAAGGGAGTTAAAAAAAAAGAGTGAAATGATTCATTTTTGAATACATCATGTTCTAAACTAACATTATTTTGAATATATTTTTTAAATTTTATTTTTCCATAATTTAAAATTTTATTATTAAATGAAATAATATGCAACAGTAATCATGAATTAATCATTAAATTTACATTTTAATACAATTATAAATAAAATAAGTGTTAAAATAATATCCCTCAAATGAAATTAAAAAACACATGGGAAAAATAACAGTACTACAGTTTTAACATTTATGAGCATTTAAGCATGAACATTTATGAAAAAGGACAAATTACAAACAACACGAACTTAAAAATTCACAATACACTGTAAACAACCATTATGTTCCCATTCCCAGAAATTTTATTGAAATATCATAGCCTTCTTGTGTATAAATGGTGTTACAATGACAATTTTTTCACTGAACAGCAAAAATTCTTTTTAAAGCCATTGTAAAACTTTCTAAAATTCACAGGAATTTTTGATGCCTTTGATTTTGGTAATATACTCATTTTCCAAGAAATTTTCCTGTAAAAAGCAAATCTGATTCACCTAATTCTATTAATCACTATGGACAAAAATTTAGAACCACTATTTTACACATACTTCACTATGGTCACTTGCTGTCTATAAAAAAACAGTATTTACGAGAAAGAACACAAAAGGAGTGTGGTTGGTTTAAAAAAAAAGGGGGGAGGACCAATTTCCTGATTCCCAGCAAAGGCATGTTAGAATTGTATGAGCATTCAAATATGATCTAACAAATAAATACACTGCAATAAGGTATATGCACAATTTATTCCATTAACAATACAGAACAAAAGCCAAAATCTGGTCTTCGACACTACCAGATTTCCCCCCCCCCTGAGAATTTTTACAAGACTAAGGAATGGAAAATATAATACTCTAGAAAAGGCAGATGCATTGTGGAAGTGATTTTAATCCACACAAACTAGATTCCTGAATGAGTCACTTTCAAACAGCTGCCGGCTAGGGAATCACACATGTGGCCCATGTGAATATATTGATTGACGTCAGCTGCAACCACACTTTTGTACCTTGAGTGGTTGATGTTTTTCTTTTTGACCATAAATGAAGCTCCAACACACATTTGTTTGGAGGGAGATGTTGCTAGTATTGGTTTCCTTTTGTTGGCACAAAGGTGGATAGAGAGAGAAAGAATTAGATTTAGAAGAAATTAAGTTTAGTTACCATAACAGACTGCATATTTTTTTAACTAATTTAATTCAGCTTATTATTTTTTGCAGACTATTATTATTATTATAGCGATCTTATCAAAATTAAAGTTCAAATTTTGATTACACTAAAAAGACTTTCTAATTCTGTAGCTGTAGCTGGATCTACAAAATGAAAGCATATTTGGTACTAAATGGAATGAATTTGTTAAGAAATAAATATGGATAAGTAACAATAAATGAAGGTGATATAACAAAACTTTTACTTTGACAATTGCTCCAATAAACTATCAACTACCAGACGGAAAGGAAGTCACAAAGACATTTTTCAGAATATTAAAATTTTGAATGATAGTTTAGTAGGAATTTTCACACAGAAGTTAGAGAACTTGAATAACAGACCTTTGTACCCAAAGAGGAAATTATGTCTGATGTATAAATTTAAATAGAAAGCACTAGCACAAAAAAAGAAACAGCTTACATGGGGGGGGGGATTTTGGTTTTCTTAAAATCATGAATGCTTCATTATTTGATAAAGAATGATTTACATTTTTAATTTATAATTTCTACATGACATCTTACTAAATTTTAATTGATGATCTAAAATTTTAAATTTTCCAAAGTCCTTTGAAATGCCAAAGTTCCAACGATTCTGTATTTTGGACTTAGTACTGTAACTTTGACTTCTGTAATAATTAAAATACAGAAAAGCATAAGGAATTCAACATGTATAAAGATTATCCTTATGTTATGGTCCGTTACTTTAAAATAGGAATTTTAGGGTCATTTTCTGCTGTCCAGATTGCCTATGGGAATGATAGCTGCAACACACGATTTGAACTGCCAAATTTTTCCCCTCTTCAGTGTCTGTTCCGCATGTTTAGTTTCATGAAAAGCGGAAAAAACTTGAACTGTCTTGAATTACAGTCTCAAGTGAGGTGGAGAAAATAAGTGCTATGTAGTGATGACAACATGCATTATGATTGCAAAAGGGAAAAGTGCTGCCAATGGCCTTGATGTGCCTATTTTAAAGAAGCAGAGTCTAGTAGCAATTGATTCATAAGATGCTGCTAAGAATTTCTCAATCTGCTGTTACCAATCAGACAGTTAAATAACCATTATTATTATTATTATCTCCTTTTGTGCCTTTACCATTGTTTTCTTTAAAGGCCGGGGGGGAGGAAGGACAGACTTAATGAGAAAATAAATTAAAGTAACTACCATTCATTTAAAAATGGAACAGAAGTAAGCCAATATGAATGAGAAATATATGAGGATAAACACTAGGTACAATTTTTATATTAACCAATGATTTTAAAATACTTCCAACTCAAAACCTAAAATGTGCCTAATGTGTGCAAGGCTATTAAAAATCTAAATTGAAATTTTTTTAATTATATATGTTTATTAATGCACATGAATGACACACATTTCTTAAGAATTATTTACATATGTTATTGTAATAATTAAGATTTTAGAATTCGACTAACTGAACTCTGTTGCAAATTACACCAGTAGAAACTCAGATCATTGCTTTGATTGACAAGCAAGCTCTTAAAGTAGCTACAACCATGTTATACTAGAAAATAGTCTATTGGGCATTGCAGCAATAAAAAGTTTTACGTGATAAATACCTAAAAAGGCAGAAATCAAAACTCCAGTACAATGAGATGTTAGAACTTTAATAGCACTAACCACTGAGCTACACTGCAGAACAAACACATGCAAACATATAACAAAATCATGCAAATATTTCACTTAGTCTTTTAATAAAAATATTCACTGCTGCTTCTAATAAAATGAAATCCTTCTATGATAATATTTTTTTAAATGCAGTACATTGCTGAGATACAGAAATTTGTTATCATAATTAATTAGCTCTACTTCTGTCATAATGAACAAAAATTCTGAAGCTGAAGTAATATATATGGCATTAAACATGTAATGTATTAATTATGCTAATGGTAGAATGAAATTTAAGCCTTTCAAAAGTAATAAAATATTACTAAAGTGACAGAAATAAAATTGTTTACTTAGCTATAGTGATATGTAATGAACTGTTACAGCTTAAATGAAAACAAATAGCAAATTAAATGAATGATAAATGACATATGAAAAAATTCTGCACAGATCGAGAATAATTTTCTACTTTGTAAGAATAGAGTTTCTTTATTAAGTGAAAATTTGTGTTAATTTACCTTCTACTAGCAAGAGAGTACTAGTAACCAAAGTTGCTATTTCATTCTCCAGAACACATTCAAATCTGCCATGATCTTCTTTGCGCAAACCTTTGATTGTTAAATTCCCTCCCCTGATCACAGCTCGCTCCCTGGGCAATTTTTCACCATCAGCCTATTCAGACACAGAACAAATTTTAATTCGCAAAATCATACTAAACAAACACACATCAATTTAACAGGATTAAAATCTGAAGAATGGATTCATGCAATAGTTCCAGTTTTTAGATAATCAGAAAATTTAAAAAAAAATACATGAAATTTTTAATGTTTAGTACTGAAAAATAAAGGCATAAAAAGACCTTCCCTCCCATTAGTACAAAGTGTAAAGCCTATTTATTAACAAGTATATTAAAATCTGTCATAACAATGCCAAATAATAATAATAATAAACGCAGAACTTAACAACAATTCTTTGCCAGCCCCCACGCCCAAAATAAAGTTTCCAATTTTTATGCTGAAACATTGGTCACCTATATAAATTTAGAAAAACAACAGTCCATAAAATATGAAATGTTACTTAAAAACACATCTCTGTTTGATACTACAGAAAACATTACAGTTAGCATCCATATGCTTGCAAATCAGAATACTTTATAAAGAAAAAAAATAACTAAGATTTTTTTGGGGTAATATTTGAGTAAATATATGTTATATTTTTTACCATCCTTCAGATATTATAATTATTATGGCAGTATTATTTTATTTCATTCTTTATGAAACATAATCACCTTATTTCTGAAAGAAATTTTATAATCATTTTAACAAATTTTTAATTTAAAAAAAAAAAAAATCTGGAGGTGGGAACATTTATTAACTGAAAGCATCTGTTAGATAATTATTGTAGCTGTCATAAGCTTGACTAAGATAATCAGATTCTTATTGCTCTTAAAATTCATGTTTAGTCATGTTTAGTTTCTAGTGAAAGGAGAAAGAAAGTGGAATGACACAGGAAAAGAGAAAAGTTAAATAAAGAAGTTATTATATAAGTATTTATTTATAAATGCCATGTAACATATGCATTTATTTCACAGCGTATATAAAAATGAAATTGTGCTTAATTGTTACATAAAACATTTAGTTACAAATAGCTTTGATACTGATGCTTACAACATACATAAACTAAAAAATAAAATAAGGTACAACTATTAATTTGAATTTTGCTTATGAAATAATGCTGCCATGACAAGTACCTATAAATTATTTCACCCAGGAGGAAAAATCTGAATGAATTTCAATAATCAATAAATAAACTTAATTTTTATTTAAAAGATGATTTCACAGTTCTAAGGCGTTATAAAAGAAAAATTTCTAAAGTGAGACATAACACTATAACAAGACATACAATATCCCTTTCACACATATCAGTTACTGGATGCTTATATCTGAAGGATATCAATTAAAATAACATTAAAAAACTTGTTTTCACTTCTCTAATCAACAAGGCCAGTTACTTGTTGCCTATATTCGAAGGACGGTAAATTAAAATTTAAAAAAATTTAAAAAATTAAAAAAGCTAATTTTTCTCTTCCCCAATACATTTTATGAAAATTATCAATGCCATTAATGTACATACCCTTCTCCAGACAACAGTAGGTTTTGGCTGTCCTGATCCTTCACAAGGCATTTTTACTTCACTGTTCACCGGCTTCTGGTAAGTATCACGAGGCTTTACAGTAAACATAGGAGGATCTAAGAAAAAAAATATTTTTATTTAGATTTGGTTTATTTGGATTGGGAGCATTGCATCATTTCACAAATCAAATATTTACATAAAATAATTTATAGAACAGAACTGTTTGAATTTTCTTCATTTATGTATGCCTTTAATATTTATACATGATTTAATCCTTATCCTGATTCATCCCTATTCATTTTTATGATAAACTATGCCATCTATATGATGCATAACTTTGGATGTGTGTCACTTTCCCAATTCATTCACCAAGTTTTCTTGTTGCAGCTGTAACAGCATCTCAGGAATTCATTTCTTTTGCTTCGCAAAATTTAAAAGTTACAAATATGAGAAGATTTGGGATACATCAGACTGGTATAGGAGCTGTAATCCAGTAAGTGGATGCCTCCATGGAAGATAATGCACTTTTGTGTCATTTCATAAACATAATTTACATCAGCAGCTGCTTCTCTTCTGCATTCTTCTTTAAATCTAAGTTATTGCTACAATAGAATCCACTCTCATTAAAAGTCAAAACAGAAATTTAAATATATATATATATATATATATATGGGATTAAAAAAAGGGGTAAATCAATACTGAGTGCTTCTGCATTAGAACTAAAACAGTTTTACAAAAGGAAAGTACATGGAGCACTTTTTGCAGAACTCACTTCAAGGCAGACTGGCTCAAAAATTTATTCAATGAAATGAATGGGTAGACATTTATAAAAAGACTAAAATACATTTTTAATGTTGATAAAGTGGTTTCTACTTTCATTTTATCTCCCAAGAACCTTTAGCCTTTATTCCTTTGACGCGTGTGATATTTTTATAATTTTTTAAACTAAAAACTCTAGAAATTGAATAATATGATCCTAGAGACAAATAATATATGAATTAAAAAAAATCTACTCTTGCCCATTGTTCTGTGGGTGGTGGTCGCACTGTGAAACCACCACGCGCCTAGGACTTTGAAACTTACTGATGTAGTAGGGGGAAAAAACTTACCATTTTCCGCGCGCGTTTCCAATAAATGACGAAATTTACAGATTTAAAAAAAAAAAAAAAGTATGCAAGAATTGCATTATATATATATTTTTTACATTATTTTACAAAGTAAATCATCAGAAAAAATTAAAAAATAAACATTTATGTAATTTTTCTATAGCAGTGAAAATATAAGTACCTACATAATAAGGACATTTGGATAAATGGATTAAAAACCTCAATAAAATAAGGATAAAAAAGAACTCAGCGTTGTTTTTTTTTTTTAATTTCAAAGAAAAATTTTTTTGTGACACTGTTTAAAGCATGTTTTATCTCTTTGGTACATGCATAGACCCACATTGCACGTTTCGCAGATACATCTTGTTCTATGAGGTTTCTTCCTTGTGCTACAAAATGTACACTACCTGGATTTAAATTTCACTGGTTCAGCGTTATTTAGTTTCTTTTCATCTGGCACATGAAATTTGTCGTTTTTTATGTTAATGGGGGGGGGGACTTGGTCTTTTTGGCTTTATACGGATCATTCGTTTCCCATTCATACTTATTTTATTCGTATTTCATCCCAAAATATTCAGAAAATATTTTTAATTTAAATAAAACTTTTACGCAATTGCTATTTTTAATTATAGCAAAGTATATTTACATTAAATTTAAACCACAGGATATAATTTATAAAATCACAATACTAGCTTGGGGAGCAAGTGTGTTGATGTCAGAGAAAGGTATTTAGAAAAGAAAGACCTTTTTACTGGGCACATGCATGTATTATTTAGTAATAAAATAACTCTGTGGTTTCAAACCCCTTTATCTATATCCGGGTAAAAATAAACATTCCTATTTGAAAAGCAAGCGATTGCCATTGAGAAGCAAACGCCAGTGGTTTCAAGATGCGACCACCAAGCCTCTAGAGGATTGTAAGCATTGTGACACAATGCTTTAGTGGCGCAATGGTCGCGCCCTGAAACCACATAGCAAATGCCATACATACAGAGGGTTTTTTTTTATATATGCAGTTTAATTACTGCAATTTTTTATTGTTTATGATAGAAATCATGATGTGCAATGACTAACTTTTGAAATTTAAAGTTGTTTATATTAATAAAAGGAAGTTATTTTTTCTCATCGAAAACGAATTTTAAAAGGCATCCGATCTGAAGTATTAATACCTAAAACATATATGATTCTACAGTCATTTTGTGTTACTTAGATGTTAAAGATCAGTAATCAATTCATTTTCACTCAAAAATTTCGGGAAAAAAAGGAGAAAAAAAATTCGGAAAATGGTGGTTTCAGGGCGTGACCACCGCGCATCAAAGGGTTAAAGAAGATCAATGTCGTGAAGTCAAGAAAAGTCACTTCACAATTAATGTTATACTGGAAATATCTTAAAAATGTAACCTAATAATATACTGAATTAATTAAATTCAATGCTACTTTTTCCAGAGTATCTATTCCTTAGTACAGGAATTAATGCAAGCAATAACAATGGTGATCAAAATATACTAATGAAACACAATTAGATTATAGCCTCTCTAAAAGGCTGGCAGACTGGGAGAATACATTCCATGTACTTTAAAATTATTTTATAATCACTGACCTCTCACTAATACCTCCATGATATTAGATGTTCCAGCAGTACCATGAACATTGTAAGGGGTGCATCGATATCTGCCTTGATGTTCGTGGCTTACTCGTTGAAACAGCAGAGAGCCATTGTTTAATGTCACCACTCCTGGATTGGCATTGGGATCGAATGGTCTACGGTCTTTGGTCCAGTGAATAGACTGGAAAGGAGGATTGGCTTGAACATAGCATCGAAGAATACCTGAGAGGCCAGAAGGCAGATATTGTATAGTTGGAGAATAAGTAACTCTAGCTGGATCTGCAATAAAACCATATTATTTATTACATAATTTGACTCTAAAATCAGATTCATAATAGCTACATTTTCTCATATGATTAGAACAGAAAGAAGACTGCATATTTATCTAAATACCCATTGCAAGAAAATAGCTAAAAGTAACCAAAATCTGGACCTCGTACAAAATATACATGTAATTGTAAATTACACTGCTAGATATAGCATGTTTACATTATTCTGCTGATAGTCTGGCAAGATGTACACTGCACTGTTTACAAGTGTCAGTTTCAATTTGGCTTGCAAATTGTGCTTTGTGATTTCTGTGATGTATAATAAAAGAAAAGTAAATCTGGGTTAAATTTTGTTTCCTCTTATATAAATCAGCTGCTGAAACTATAGTGATTCTTTAAATTGCATTTCAAAGAAGAAGCTTAAGTAGGTTTATAAGTGATTTTTCACATTTAAAGTAAAGGAAAATGTCATTCGAATAATAGACCAACCAGTGGTCGCCAAGACCATTAAAAATGACGAAATTCTTGAAAAACGTTGCAATAAAATTTATGAAGATCATTGGTGCAGCATCAAAAAGATTTCTGACTTGACTTGTGCTCTTTGCATATCTTAAAGAGAGATAGAAAAAAAAAAGCTCCTCAATAAAGGAAAGTAATGATTGGCTTCTGACCATGACATAGCTCTTTGTTGTCTAACCGTTCCTATTCATATAAGTCCGTGCAACTTTTGCTCATCCATACACACTAATGTTTGTGAAAATTACAATACCATGAAGGAATTATGCAAATTGAACCCAACTTACAGAAACTGTAAGTGAGTAAAGTGAGGTAAGACATGTATATGGTTAGAATTACAAAGCAATTGTGCATGCGTGGAATGAGAACCAGCCACATGTTCCATGTACATAAAGGACTATAAAGTTGTGTTGAAATCTGTTTATCCCCCTCTGTCTGCAGTGAACATTTAATTAGTGGTCAGTATACCTCATCAACAGTGGAGAGTGCCATACCAACAACTAACGGAATTTGAAAGAGGCCACATCATCGATATGCCAAAGAATGGACTTTTGCATTGAGCAATCACAGCATACAAGCAGCATAATGCCATAAAAGTGATGCATGTTTGTAAGAAATGGACAGAGGAAAACCAGACAAAGCAAAATCTTGACAGTGCAGCATGCAATAGTACAATGGCATGGGACAATAGATACCTCATCCTCTTAGCTGAGACTGATTCTACAGCATCTGCTCATTTGCTCATTTTTTTAGCATGCTGTTTGAACTCAGATATAGCAATTTTGTTGTCTAGCTCCATGGTTCATCACCATCTACTGCAGCATAAACTGCATGCAATGGTTCTTTTATGCAGGATTCCCGTGTCGCAGAATCATAAATGCCTCTAACTTCAATCAGCACAGTAACACAGAGTGTGGCATGCCCTGTGGCAACAAGTTGTTTCCTCCAATGAATCTCACTATAATCTGGAGCATAATGATGGAAAAATACGTATCAAGCATTACAGTGGGGAACATGTGCTCCCACAGTCAGTTATACAACATCATACCGCATAAACGCCTGGCATCATGGTATGGAAAGCTATTGGGTATAATTGTCGATCCCAATAGTGCAGACTGAGGGCAATCTCAACATTGTTGTTACATAAGGGAAGTTGTGGCGCCAGAGGTCCTTCCAATATTTCTTAGATTACACAAGCCTTCTTTAGGGCACAACAGGTTTCACTTCTTCCATGGTCTGCATATTAACTGGATATGCCACCCATTGAGTATGTCTAGGATTTCATTGGTTGATGACTAAGGAGAGCATTTTTTTACTCTGTAAGAAGTCAAAGAAAAATTCCTGCAGGCCTTGCACAATGTTGGTCATCAAAAATTCCAAAACCATTTCCATAAGTGGAAAAAACACTGGAATATTCACATGGAGAATCCTTTGAAAGAGATTACAACTTGGCTATTTTTGGGTATTCCTTGGCATATTTCATATTACTTACAATATTTCTAAGGCATAATTTTTTTTTGGGGGGGGGAGTCAAAATTAAGTTAAAGCTGAAAGTAACAGATACAATTAAAACTTGTTTCAAAAGTGCCTCTTAAAAGCCTTGAGCATTTATTGTTGGAAAATAAAATAATTCCTACATCACTATATCATAATCTCAGATTTACATGATTATTACAGCTCACATTCAATTTGAAGTGATTACACATGAAAACATAATCTCAACAGTGCAAATTCTAGAAAATGAAGCAAACTATCTTTTAGATATACACTATTTCTCAGAAGAATATTTTAAATTGTGGCGTTTTGAAGCAGTATATTCTTAAAAAACTCTAATAAACTGGAACACCATATAAAAAAGCACAGTAATTTTAGTATGCACACTTAAGAAATGACTTTTACAAATAAATCTTGTATTTTAAAACAATATCAAGAATTCTTCTTCTTTTTTAAAGGGGTACTGATCTTAGGCCTGCAGTACTCAAATATATTATGCACATTAATGTTTCAAAAAAGATATAGCTAAAACAATTTAAAGTGGAAATAGTGGGAAGGGAAATATTGAGAAATTAATCTTTTCACAGCAAGAACAATATATTTAAAGTGAATTAATTTTAAAAGAATTTTTTTTTCTACATTTGAGTTAAAAATAACTTTTATCACTTCTGAAACTAGAGATACAGTTTAAATTTATTTTGTGAATATTTAATTATCTACAAGAATATTTTGCTTCAATTTCTTTATAAACTACTTTTTGATTTTCTTTGCTCGATAAAACTGAGAACTTATTTCTAAAGTTAGTAAAGGGCGTATCCTTTTATGAAATATAAATTTTAATTTAATTTCTTAAATTGTTAATATCCAAAATTATTAATATAATACAACAACACAACTAGCAGACTACATAATAATGCACAATAATTAAGACATTTATTAAACATACATTCAACACTCAAGTAAACTGATGCAGAGTCAGGATTGCCAATTCCATTTGAGACCTCGCAAGTGTACAGCCCAGAGTCTTCTGCTGTGAGAGGGCTGATGAACAGTAGTCCATCTTTGCGCACCAGCGAGCGACTCTCCAACCAAGTGAGTTGGCTAATATCAATACCATTGTGATACCATCGATGGGTTATATTAGCTGGTAGAGCTTTGGCTTCACATATGAATTCCACTTTGCCACCTTCTAACTTACTGGTGTTTCGAGGAGGCACAGTAATGACAGCAGGCCCTATATTAAAATTTGTCCATATAAATAAAAGCTCATTAAGTCGTTGACTAGTGTATTCAAAAATTTAAATTTAAATAAAAATGTTCAAATGGATATTATATAGAAGAACACTTCAAAAATTTACAGAGGGTTTTTACATAATTTTAGTATGATTTCAGGCTGTTTAATTAATGCTTAAAATGTAAAGAGTATTTATTTAAATGTTCAATCTAATTCTGAATTATTATCTACATTGTGATTTACATGATAGAAGGGTTTTTCGTAAAATTTCTCTTCCACTACTTTCCAAAGTTCATCAATCATGGACTCTGGTAAGTCCAATAGTCCTTCTATCTTGATGGAAGATATTAGGTTATAGGTATTTCTCTCACCTTCTTAGCATGCCTTCGTGGTGTAGTGGTCAGCACACTCGATGCGTATTCAAGAGGTCCATGGTTCCAGTCCTGGCAAGGGCATTGTTCATTTTCCATCTCTCCTGCTTTGAAATAACCTAATGTCTCTGCAATGGCGCCCGAACTAAAAGGTGGTGAATGACAATTCTTCACCACCGGGATTTAGCGATTGGGTCCCCTAAAACCCCAGTTGCCCTTTAAAAGTGAGAATATACAAGGTATTTCTCCCACTTTCTTAGCATGCCTTCGTTGCGTAGTGGTCAGCAAACTCGATGCGTATTCGAGAGGTATGTGGTTCGAGTCCCGGCATGGGCATTGATCATTTTTCATCTCTCCTGCTCCGAAATAACCTAATGTCTCTGCAGTGTCTCTTGAAAAAGAAAGAACTCTTTTCAAGAAACCAGAGGCACAATAGTCCATAGGTGAAACATCAGGGGGACTTTTCTGGAATATATTGAAAATGTATATATGTAATAACTGTATTTGTCTTTATTTTTCAAGGAATGCAGTGATACTTAAAGAAACATAATTCCTCCATAAATATGGGATATAAAACTTTCTCTTGATAGTGCAGAGTTGATTTTAACATTTTTTCCTACTCTTCCATTTTTTATTTCCCAATGTAAAAGAATCCTGCTACATTCATAAAACCCTCATTGTCACTTTCTTTGCATTAATGAAACTAGGTTTGTACATTTTCTTCGCTTTGTTTTCAATAATATAATAGAACCCTTTTTTGTTGCAGTCATTTAGTTTCATCAAGGGTCAAAATGTATTTCCATTTATCTCCTGTAAATTGGTTTCATACAGGGTTCTATAAATTGCTCTGCATTGAGCCACATATGTCAACAAAAAGCTGATGAACATTTATGTTTTTTAGCTTTTTAAAGTAGTAAATCTTGGTTTATTACTTTATTCTTATATTATATACATTATATTGAAAATGTATATATGTAATAACTGTATTTGTCTTTATTTTTCAAGGAATGCAGTGATACTTAAAGAAACATAATTCCTCCATAAATATGGGATATAAAACTTTCTCTTGATAGTGCAGAGTTGATTTTAACATTTTTTCCTACTCTTCCATTTTTTATTTCCCAATGTAAAAGAATCCTGCTACATTCATAAAACCCTCATTGTCACTTTCTTTGCATTAATGAAACTAGGTTTGTACATTTTCTTCGCTTTGTTTTCAATAATATAATAGAACCCTTTTTTGTTGCAGTCATTTAGTTTCATCAAGGGTCAAAATGTATTTCCATTTATCTCCTGTAAATTGGTTTCATACAGGGTTCTATAAATTGCTCTGCATTGAGCCACATATGTCAACAAAAAGCTGATGAACATTTATGTTTTTTAGCTTTTTAAAGTAGTAAATCTTGGTTTATTACTTTATTCTTTGTTACTACAGATTTCTGCATTTTCTGTTGTAAATGATTTAACTTTAGAAATATTAGAAACAGTACATATCCTTTTGGGGTGATTAATAATTAAAAGCTGAGTTCTAGGAAGGAATTAAACAAGCAGCTATATGAACATGCCAAACATTACATGGACTCGTATTGAAGGCTAAGGAGTAAGAAGTTGCTTTTGTGAACTTTTGATAATTATCAGAAGTTTTGACAAAACTTGTTACTTATGAGAGAAATTTTTATTTTAATTAGCTTAACTTTAAAAAAGAACACAAATTAATGAAGTTTTCTAACCTGCAACAATGACTTTTGTTAAAGCATTTACACTTCCTTCTTTGTTTCTTGCAACACACAAGTAGTCCCCAATATCTGATTGTTGAATGTTATTTATTCGTAGCTCAGAAGCAGTTATCTGTACAGTAGGAGAAGATTGCAGCGGTAGATTGTCCTGAAATAAATAAGATAAAGAATAAAAATTTAATAAACAACATGCTGAATTAACCATTTGTCTGGGCAAAAATTGAAACATTTCCTTTGTAAAGACATTTATAAAGGATTCATATATAAAAACTTTTATAAAGTATAATCTGAAACCAAATACCAAAGCTGAGCTTCATAAAACTGAAAAATGTAAAAAATAAAATTCAATAAATTACAAATTCAGCACTTACCTTAAACCAAGATATTACAGGAAGAGGGGTACCTATTGCTTCACAATTTAATGTAACAGATTCCCCAACTTTCACATATACTGTGTCTGGAGGTTTCAATTTAAAATGTGGAGGGGCTGTAAGAAATGTTTGCAAAGAAATAATTTTTTAAAGGTCTCAGACGGCATACAAATTATACATGAATAAAAATTCAAGAAAGTAAAAAAGATCAGATAAACTTAAACATAAAATATACAATTTAAAAATACTGTTCCAGATTTAATTTTATATAATAATTACCTAATTTTCTTGTAATATTATTTGAAAAGCTGCAAACATTTAGTGCTAAAACAACTCTATCATTAAGATAATGTGCAAGAGAGTATAACAATTTAAACTCTATCATGTTTAAAGGATCTCTATTTAGCAATGAATTATGCAATGCTTAAATACATGTTGATGTAAAATTTTGGATAAAATATTTAGAAATGAGGGGCATTAGCTCTTAGCATATTCAGAATGCATTGAAGATTCAGAACCCCTGAGATGTAGCAGACAGTTAGGCTTTAAAGGTATCATGATGGCTACTTACTTGTGGCTTTAGAGAAAATATTTTATTAATACATTATAAAATCTATAATTCACAGAAGTTAAATTATAATTCAAAATATAATGAAATATAAATTAATTTTAAATTTGAATTTACTCATTTATTTGCCATACATTATAGAATAACAAATATTGAAATAATTTATAAATATTTAAGACATAGGATTTTAAAACATATTTTAGCTTAGCTATAAAGAAACTTATTTCATCAATCAACCATACTGCCAAAGCAAAAGAATATAACACCTTAAAAAGATAAATGAACTTTATTGTAATCATTTATTGTACTTGCTGCTTAAAACCTTTTCAAGAAATTCACAGATTGACTACACTGGATCAAATCCATGACTGCTGCTTGAGATATACTGTATTATGCTTTGTTAATGTGAATAAAACCAACTCACAATTGTCTTTAATAAAAAATTGAATAAAAGAATGTATTACAATGGTGGATAAGGAAAATATACTGTTAACTGCCAGATGAATTAATGCTAATGAATTTTTGTCACGTTCCGCAACACTAGATGATAAAACTAGCTTTCATAAAAAAATAAACAGGCAATTGTTTAAATGGTGAAAGTGCTTTAAGAATGGCAAAAAATGAAGTGGGAAGGCTAAAGGGCTAACAATACTTTGTCTGAATATCAAAGTCTGATTTTCTGATCAAGTAATAATTATACGTCTTATGTGTTAACATATACTAAGATGTGTAAAAAGTCTCATCTATAATGACAACACCATTAACAAACATTTAAACATTCTATATTTTTGAATTTATCACAAGTTTTTTTTTAACTTAATAGTTTTAAAAAAACTGCATGCTTTTAGGTTATGTTTGCTTCATATCATGATAGATTATCAATAAGCTGATGAATATGTAAATTGAAAGAAAATAAAACAAATTTCATGCATAATTATATAAACCAAAATATCAAAACTGAATTTCATTTTTTCTGCAACTCATAAAATTAAGTATCTTACCAAGCACATCAAGATGAACCCATGAACCATTCTTTGGTGAATCTGGAGGTCGATTTAAAAAATACACTTTGCATTCATACCATCCTTGGTCTGCTTCTCTTACAGCAGTCAAATTTAGAGAAGCCAGACCACCAAGTGAAGCTCTGCCTTCATATCCTTCTCCAGCATGAGGAGGATATCCATCATACCATATATAGATGGGAATTTTCACATCTTGCTTCTGCCACTGTACAACATATGGTACAGGAGTTCCTTCAGGGAATGAAAATGTGCAAGGGAGAATAACATCTTCACCAAGAAGTGCAGTGGTATACTCTGGTTCTAGTTGAGAAACACCTGCAAAGTGTTTCAGATTATACATCCAGTTTTTATTTTAATATCTGGATCTCCTATAAACATTTACAATTATTATATAAAAAAAAATAAAATCCCTTTTTTAGATTGGAAAAAATTTTCTTAATTTTAATTACACTCTAATTTAAACTTAATTCTCATATCTATTAACCAATTTCCTCAAGTAACAGCACTATTCAGTACTAAGCAAGAAAAGGCTACCAAAAAGCATTGAATTAGGTATCATAATATTTACTAATTACAGATAACAAAACCATTTACCTACACACTAAAATACTACTACATCTTAACCAGCAGTTAACTAATTTAAAAATACTAATATCTTTTGTTTTGTAGGAGAACGTTTCACATAAAAGTATTTTATCATACTTCCATAATATACCATAAATTATATTCATAAAACTTTAATTTGAAAAGTATTTTGATATCAACCAAGGCACATCAATTATAAATTCTAAATGCAGCATCTGGAAAAACTGCTTCTGATGTTAAAATTAAGTCAAATTCAATAGTTTCCCTAATTTATTCAAAACATTAAACAATGTGTTTTATGAACATGCAGGGTAATTAAAAAAGAACTGCCTGATTTCAGTTGCACAGATTAACAAAGTCTAAAGAAGTCTGAAAATATAACAGTTACTGAGACTATAAACTCAATAGAAATTAAATTGACATTCAATCTCTGAAAGGAACCATGTTATAATTTTCTACCCAGCGAAATTTAAAATCTCAGTTGAATTTATACCAAAAAAAAATCATGTTAAAGTTAGTTGTCATGTTTTAAGGCATAGACGAAGGAATCTGGTACTTTAATCTCTGGCCTCTGAAGACACTTAATAAAGTGTGGAAGTGATTGGAAGGATGAATGCATAAATCAAAAACTTCCGGTGGCCGTTTTAAAACATAATTTTATTGCAGGATAATTCACATCAGATCATCTTTCTGTATATATAATATTTTTCAATCATAGTATTCCAGGTAGACGGATTTTAAAATATGACTAGTGGCCAAGCCCACTACATGAGGAAGGGATGCCTTCGTGGAGCGCCCGCTTTATTCACATTAGGTCACTTGATTCACGTATGCATTCACAAGATATATGCTAGCTCGCATGAATGCTAGAGGGGAAGCCCGCTTTATACACATGTGGAAAATGCTTTCGTTGGTCTTTATTCGAAAGTTGGACCGAACACCAGTGAAGCCAGCTTTCGTTCAACGGGATTTAAAATTTGGAGCGAACTGCGAACTACCAGTGTTCAGCAATTTTTCCTGGGCCGCACCCTCTGTATTCACGTATGCATCCACAATTTCTGGAGAGTACGGCAGGATTCGAAAGTTGGACCGAACTACCAGTATTCAGCAACTTTATCCCGGCTGCGCCCGCTTTATTGATGTATGCATCCACAAGATACTGCCAACACGTTACACATGCGGAAAATCCCGAAAACACCCATGCAGTCAGCCCACTTGCCGGGATTTCGAAAGTTGGGCCGAACCACCATGTTTCAACAGTTTTACGACTATTCAATTAAAACTATTCGATTAAACTATTCAATTAAAACAAGTTCAAAATAGAATAAAAAAATTTTTAAAGGAAAATTAACAAAACGAACATGAAAAGGAAAAATGTCTGTCATGCAACTAATAATAGTAACGCAAATATAATTTAAATGAAAATTCAAGAAAATGAACAAATGAAAAGTTAGTGAGAAAATGCTGACTCATCAGGGCGAAGCAGCTTATATCACTCTCTCTCCAATTGCTCAGACATGTTTCTTCCATGCCATGCATATATAATTTTAAACAATTTTTTTAAACAACTTCATATAACAATTAAAAAAATCAGCAAACCCATATGCAGGTCAAGATTTCCCCTACAGGATGTTAATCACTATTCTGATCCAGTTACATTTAAATGCAAAAAACTACTTTTCCATTTTGATTCAAAATGGAAAGTAGTTTATGTATGTATATATAATTAAAGACATAAATTAAGAAATTTAAAACTTATATTTCACAAAGAACAGAAATTGAAATTCATAATTAAAAAATTTCAAATAAACATATAAATGCAACAATGAATTTAAAAATGTTAAAACCAAAACATTTCAAACAAACCAAAGCCCTCTTCAAAAACCATAAAATTTAAAGAAATATGAACAAAAACAGAAGAGGAATTCAATCAATGTCACTTTCATCAGGGCGAAGGAACTTATATACATAAACATATATAAATCAAACGCTTAATATTAAAATCTAAATTATGTGTGTGTGTATGTATGCATGCATACATGTATGTATGTAAGATATAAAATAACCATACATACAAAACAGCATAAACTTAACTTTCCCTAGTTTTATGTATAGATACATTCGGTCTACTGGAAAGTTATGTCCATTTTACGACAACAATATTTGACACATAAGCACATGTTTATTTGCTGTATGCTTGGCTCTCTATTTTTATCACTTAATGTATATATACTGAACTAGCAAGTTAACTAAAACAAAGTTGATTCACGTTAGTCTTAAGTGTGAAGCGATAGTGTACCCATGGCCACTGATAAAGTTCATTTACGCCACTGTATTTTATAGGAATTTCAACAAGGAAGAAATGCTACAGAAGCACGTATTTATTGAATGTGTTTGATAAAGGTACAGTTTCTGGTAAGGCATGCAGAAGATGGTTAAAAAAATTTCAAACTGGCGATTTCGAACTTTCTGATAAGCCACGTTCTGAACGATCATCTTTGATTGGCGACGGTGTTGTTGCGACCATGTTGGAGCAAGATCCTTTTGTGACAACATCGGAGATCGCAGAAAGGCTTAATTCAGCTCAGCAAACCATTTCGAACCATATTCGGAATTGGTGTGGAAATATTCAAGACGGGTGCCACATGAATTAAGTCAGAAGAATTTGGATGATCGAGTCGTCATATGCACATCTCTGCTTGCTCCGGACAAAATGAAGCCCTTCTTAAACCGGTTAATAACTGGGAATGAAAAGTGGATCACCCACGGAAACATCATAAGGAAAAAGGCATATTGTGAACTCAGGAAACCTAGCCCTCCCACCTTTAAACCAAATTTGACACTGAATAAGGAGAATGTTGTGTATATGGTGGGGCATTCGAGGATCAGTACATTACGAGCTTTTAAAACCGAACAAAAAGCTCAATTCGGAGAAGTACTGTCAGCAATTAGACAATTTAAAGATAACAGTCCAAGAAAAGAGGCTGGCGATTTCCGTACTGCATTTTTCGGAAGGACATCGTACTGCATCATGATCATGACAGGCCACATGCTGCTTTGGGGACTCGTCAAAAAATTGCAGAACTAGGCTGAAAAATTCTGTCACATTGCACCATATTCCGCGGACTTAGCACCCTCTGACTATAACTTGTTTTTGTCCTTACAAAATTTTTTGAAGGGCAAAAAATTCAAAGATGAAGTAGATATCAAACAAGCACCAGCTCAATTTTTTGTATCAAAAGTTAAAAGTTACATCATTTTTCAAAAATGGGATATACAAATTGCTCTCATGCTGGCAAGAAGTCATTAATAATAATGGCAATTATATTATTTTAATAAAGTTTATTGACGGTAAGGAAAATTTATATTTTGTTTTATTCCAAAAAGGACAGAACTTTTCGGTAGACTGTATATAATATACACACTGCTGCAATACAAAAAGCATTTTTACTAAATATCTTTTATTTTTCTGCACAACAAAAGAGCATTTAAAAAAAGAGGAATTTTCAAAGACAAAAGCTAAAAATATTAAAAGTTTACCTGAGTAAACACCCAATGACCAAACAGATATAAAAACAAGAAAGTGACATGTTTTCTTCATCACCATCTCACAATACAAGTTAATATATCTTTGCACTCATCTTTTAAGACAAGAAAGTTTAAAGCTCTCTCTTGCTTTAAGATGGTAGCAAGAGTTTCGCATTGAGCAGATAATGGAGAATATCAAATGTTCTGAAAATAAAAAGATTTAAAGTTAAATATTACATAAACACCTAGAATTTAAAATTCAGTGCCTTTGGCACAGAATTTTAAAATATTTAAACTCAATATAACATTTATGTAGTTATTTAACTTCTTCATTATAAGAAGTTAAATAACTACATAATATATTTCTGATAGCTCAAATCAGTCTTTAGCTATCTGAAATAAATAAATAAAAGAATTGCAATCCCGTAAGAGATTTTAGACATTGCTCTAAAATTTAGACACTAGTACACTAGAGCTATAGAGCCTAGTTTGGTATAGTTCCTAATGTATTTGTAATTAACTGAAGAAAAACAATTGAAGTTTTTTTTCATTTATAACCATTAAAGTATCCAAATATTCACAAATCATTTTGAAAAAGTTTACCACATTGATCTTTAACATTCAACTTTTTGTGTGTTTAAAGTATTTTATTGTGCATTATTAGCCTGTTCTAAAAGATTAAATGAAACTTCTGTTGTTAAAATAGTCATAAACATTTTTTTAATTAAAAGAAAAGACTAAAAAATGTGCATGTAACTGCACAATTTAGGAAAGAAATCAATGCATACATACAAATACAATTTGGAAATATATACCACCTTCCAAAAAAGTTTCTAGAGTTACTCTTACCATTCTAATGGTTAATAAAACTAATGGCAAAATTATACTAAAGTCAACTTGACATAAGACTTTATATGTTATTGAATAAGCTATTAAAAGATGCAGTTTAAAATATTTATTCCTTTGTTTGTAAAGAAGTTAAAAAGAATTACAAAAAAAAAGAGTAAATTTGAAAACTACAACTCCTTATCAATTAAGTTATGCACAACAGTATAAATAGCAATATTAATTTAGTAACTCAAAATATCTCCATCAAAACATTCAAAATAAACTAACATTTTAAAAATTATATTTTTATATTACTGCATTTATAACAGAGTCACTCACAATGAAATTTAAATTAGGAAATGAAAAGGTTTCTCCTGCAACAACATATATCATTTTGAAATACCTAAATCAGTGAACTAATCTTGCGTAGACACAGGATTAGTTCACTGACAGGCAGACATATAAAATACAAGCACTGAATATAATGAAAATACAATTACCATGTCACATATTAGAACCATAACTAACAATTGCAATTAACTAAATTTTCTGTGCTACTTATGGATTAACTTAAATAATGAGAACCAATAATAAGCAATTAATATATGACCTATATTAAACATAAAAAATGTTAACAATATCACTATTTATTACATAAATGTACTTTAAATTATTTTAATTTAATTTAAAGGAAACAAACTGTAATGCAAAATTTAATACAGGTTGAGTATCCATAATATGAAATGCTTAGATTCAATAACATTTTGAATTTTTAAGGTCAATCAAATTTGGTATGCCATATACTTGGTAATCCTTAATGCTTAATACTGTAGGATGATTAATGTATAAAAACTACACTTTTCACCAACTGCACTTCATGTTATGGCATCTAATTCCAGTCTTAAAACAAATCATTACATATCTGCCAAAAAATAAGACCACTTGAAATTTTTCCAACATGTAGCTTAACAACATTCATGTTTATAATGTTATAGAAATATTCTAATTTATTATATTTCTATATTATAAGAGATGATGTTTCTCACTGTTTAATACTTTAAATTAAAAAATATCTTTTTCACTTCTCTTCTGGAAATAAAAGTTAACAAGCTTCCTTTTACTATCCTATCAAGCAAGCGTTGTGTCAGAAAGCCCATGTGGCTAGAAAGGGAGTAAGGGCTGATCTAAAATTAGATCAAGTGGTTCATGAAGGACTTCAGCAAATCACAAATGAATCCCAAAGGTCTGGCTTTACTAGAAAAGCTGCATATTTCAGAATTATGTTCAGCAAAGTTCCAAACAGCTTGATTAAATTAGGGCCATAGCCTATCCAGATACTTCAAAAATCTGAATAAATAGTCTTTCTTCTTTAGGCAAAATATATGCTTACCACAATGGAAGTAAAATAATTCCATTTTTTCATTTACTATATTTTATTTTGCAAGAAATAGTTAAAAAATGAAAGATTTTAATGTCTTTAAATAAAAGTGCACTTTTTAGAAAAGTTAAATTGGTAAATAAAAATGATGAACCTACTTTTTTTGTTTGCTAAATACTATTTTTATTTTCACTAAAATGAAGTAAAATAAAAATAATAATAAAACAAAAATATTTACAGAACTTTAAAACTAAACACATAATTTTATTTTTCCTTTTATAGTACTATAATTAAACAAAAAACTATTTTTTGTTTAAAATTGCTTACAAGGCCTAATTATCTTAATTATTACTAAAATTAAACTTAAACTTTGTTCAATTGAGATGATATAGTAAAATCAACTATGCAGTACTATTTGTATTGTTGTATGTTTTGTAACTGTATAATATTGTAATATATGTAATTATAATTGTATAAATTATTATACATATTACTTTTACAATATTGTTATACTTTAAGAGATGCCTTTTAATGGCTTAGCATAAAACAAAGAAGGAAGAATACAGTTAAAGGCAGAGATAACAGCTTCCCTATCTATGTATGTAAGATACAGGTATGGAGAATATCAATGCCAAATCTAAAAATAATGCAGTACTTTCTTTAAAATATAAATGCACTAAATTAAATTTTTATGCTATTTAAATCAATGGGAAAAATAAATCCAAACAACATCCAAACAAATTAATAACAAGCATAATTTTATTTGGCGTTGAAAAAAGAAATGAGTAATCAAACAACTACAGCTCTGGATATCTGCAATCTCACTTAAATCTATTTAAATCTAAAATGGAAAATGCTCAAAAATAAAATTTACAAATAATCTAATACACAGAATGAGAGTTTTCCTTATTTCTTAGTTATTGATTAGTTTATTTGATTTTTAATTAATTTACATTTTGGACTACTTTATTTCCTGAAGCTATTTTATTAATCCCCTTCTCACCCATTTTCAAAGGGACTTGTTGATTTGCTTGACTATTAATACTTCCATAAAAAGCAAATTAAAACTCATTACATAAATTTTTACTTCTAAATTTACACTTGGAAAATTTTATAAATAAAATTTGAATTATGTACATAAGCATTATAAAAATGTGTCCTTTTATTTTACACATTTAGTATACTTTATTACTAATATAACATCATCTTATATATATTAATAAGACCACATAACATACCACTAATTACACACAATATTCACACTTTATAATATTTTCTTAATTATACATAATATTTTATTATTATAATTACATGATAATAAGAAATACTAAGATCTTAAAACTAATGTAAATATAAAATATAACAAATTAGTATAAATTATTTTAATCTTGTTAAAACCAAAATGGTGAAAAGCAACAATAAAAGTTTAAACTTGAAGTAATAAAAAATAACTCTATAAATTTTAATAATATTCGATATAAAATAACTTAATAATATTTTCAATTACCAAGTAGTACTATTTAAACAACATATTACCAACATAACAGAAGCAGCATCAAAACAATTATTTTCCAATACTGTTAATTCTCTAGCAGGAAAGAATAGAAAATATTAATAAAAATTAAAATATAAAAAACTACTGATAAATTTCTTGCCTGCACTTAAAATATATCTCAATATACAGTCCAAAGTCAATGAAAACCGATACTTCTTTGCAAATTAATAGTATTTTCATCAGAATAATAATTATAAAATTGTAATGAAAAAAATACAGACCATATTTAAATATTTTAAAATTATTTTGGATCACCTTTAAGAAGCATCAGCAAATGTTTTAAATGAACTAAATCTAATTTTCCATAAGACACACACCACAATAATTCAGACACTAGCTATTCAGTAACTGAAAAGATCATGAGACATAAACACTGAATCCAAAATTTGAAATCAAACAAAAATATTTGGATCGAAAGATAAATAAGTTTTAGGAACCTCCAAATATATACACTTTTTTTTAAAAAAATGTGCAACAGTTGGCAATTTTCCAAACAAACAAGAGAAAACTATTTCTTGACTCACATAAACATTATGATCAGATAATTATAAAAACTAAGCCACTAGGGCAACTTCAGGGTCATAAAATATTTACAAACATTCTTCCATTATAGAAGATAAAAACTGGAGGGTATTTAGTAGGCATATTTTATCAGTTTTTAGTCAAATAAAGATAAAAACAACATTCTTCATTACACAAGGTTAATTTCTAATTAAGATACACTTAATTTTCGCCAAATCTCTATAGCCTGTATATTGGGCCGTTAAAAAAAAAAAAAAAAAAAAAAAAAGAAAGAAAGAAAGAAAATAAATTAAATTTTTAGAAAAATCATTATAATATCTCATGAAATAAAAGCAATGATTTAAAATGTAGTTCTCCCTTAACGAAAAACTCTCCCCTTTCCTACGATGATTTCTTGCACAATGAAATAGATCTTCATTCTTAAATCACCTAACCTTTCTTTTCTAAAATCTTGTAACAGTGCAGTCACATTTTAAAATGATTCTATATTTAAAGCTGATGCTTAATTAACCAGAAAAAAAATCCTGACATTTAACTGTAAGAAGTTTATGCTGTTCAAATATTTAATGATTTGTATGTAAAACTATGGCAATTTTATTTTAATAATTAATCTCTGACCAACTTCACAAGAATTTTTAAAAAATCAATTATTTCAATTTATTTCATTTAATTTACTGTTAGAAACCTATAAAACTGGAGCTAAAATATTATTTATATTATTGGAGGTGTTAATGCAACAAGAAGCATAATACTCATATATTTGTAGAAACAGTTTCAAAGGCTTAAAAATAGAACCCTCTTCTTCAGCTATAGAACTGCACACTTAGCACATTTCCAGCTGAAGAGAGGGTTCCATATTTAAACCTTTGAAATCAGTCCTGCAAATTTAGGAATATTATGCTGACTCTTGTTGCCTTTAAC